TGGGTCCTAATTGATTTTCAAGCTTTCGCTTTATTTTTAAAACTCTGATTTGGAGTCCTTAAATTTTATGTTTGGAATTTGAAATGGCAAATTGAGATTCCTTTAAAATAATTTTGAGAAATTCTCTTTAATACCTCGAATAATTATGAGATTGGAGTTAATTTGTGGTTTAACTTCAAGGAGGTTGCAGGCTACTTCGTCTCCAATCGAATAAACTCTAGTAGGATATCACCTTAAGATAAAGAGGCCATGTCCTACAATCTTTATCACCTCTATGGCTTTTGAAACAGGGCAAGTAGTTGGGCTTAATGAATTAGGATGTGCATATTAAGAAGGTAAACAAGAAAAAGAATAATGCAACAGACATGCTCGTAAAGATTGGACTGGATAGTTTGCTTGGGCTTAGTATTTTCACTAATGCCCTTACGAAGTTATACGTTGTACTAGAGAAGGATTTATTGTATTTAGTTGATTATATAGGCTAACTTGCCTAGGTTTCATCTATCATCATAAAAAAAACAAAGTAGTTCGCCTCAATAACTTCCCTAGCTGCAACATCCCTTTCTCTTATCCAGCAAGCAGCTACTCCCTCTCATATAAGTCATCATCATTTTGTGCAACCTTGCTCTGTTTCTTTCTACAAAATAGAGCAACTTTCTCTTCATAAAATATCACCGTTAAGCATTACATTGGAGCCATGTTCATTTGGGCCACACAACTATCGGCCAAAAGCTTCATGCATACATACGTGCATAGCTTACTGCACTCCTTTCTTTCTACCTACTCTCTCTAATCATCTTCCACTAAGTGTGGTGAACGCTCTAAGGTTTACTATTGTTGTCTTGTTGAGTTGTCCTTAAGCAGCATTAGGATCCCATAGATGCTAGAGTTAAAGCCCGATGCTGTCCTTGAGAAGTAAAGTAGAGAGGGAGACAGGAGACGGGAGACTAACAAAGAAAGTAAGGGGAAGAGAGAGAAGAGAGAAGGATACAAAAGGGGAGAGATGGGAGTTTGAAAGACAAAGAGACAAAGCATAGAGGGAGACGGGAGATAGGAGACGAAGTAGACAAAGCACGGAGGGAGACGGGAGATAGAAGATGAAGGAGACAAAGCAAAGAAGGATATGGGAGAGGAGAGTGTGGAGGAGAAGATGATGAGATCGAGAAGAGGAGAAAGAGAGAGAAGAGGAGGGAGGATTAAAAATATTAAAAAATAATGTGGGGGCCCACAAATAATATTTTATAATAAAAAATATTAAAAAAATTTAAAACTGGACCCACTAATGAAAGAATAGATGGATAAAATGGTGGGGTGATAACGTAAAAGCATTTGAGGTTGAGGGATATAAATAACCTATTGTTGAGTTTAGAAGCATTTGTACACATTTGCATACACTTAGGGACATTTTTTACCCTTAACCCTTCAATTATTTAAATGATGTTCTGATATCTTGTTTGTCGATAGTTGAGCACATTATAAATATGTCCGCTCATGGCTTAGACCACTTATCCTAATATGCCCCCTCTATTCTCGATCACGACCAGTTATCTCTGGTAAAGGACTTAACCATTGACGATTTTGAGCAAAAAAGACCCTCCACTTTTAGGGAATGCTCACCCACATGTGGTGATCACCTATTAGGTTACATCTATGGGCGGTCATGGAAGGAAGCTCAAATTCTCCCTCACATTTACTCGTAAGCCCAAAATCTTGCTTAACATTACTCCTAAATAATTCCTTCGTTGTTTAATACTCTTAATTAAAATTTTAAGATGTCGTAATGTTGATCTTGTAAGAAATTTGAGTGTTATTTTTGGTTGAAATCCATCACTTCATTCTAATGTAGAGCTCTGCCACCTTCATTGAACCCTCATGTGAATTTTAAGGTTAATCCATATGGTAGTTGTTCTCTATTTCATTAAGTTTTGGAATTTACAATTTGGTATGCTCACTCACTAATTCCTCAAAGGACCTATTCGTCATCTACTTTTGGTGGGGCTTTGTGAGTTTCTTTGTAGCTCTGACCTCAATGCTACTATTGTTGCTACAATTCGCTTCTGGTTGGAGAAGGATTTTGGAATTGATTTATCAGATTGGAAGGCATCCACTTAGGAAAAAGTTGACTTATTCCTTTAAAGAGAGCATGAGAAACTCGAGGGACCTGAAAAACCAAAAGATGAAGAAGATAAAAAAAGATAAGCTTCAACTAAAGCATGAATCAAGTGAAAGCAAAGATTCGAATGATGAAATGTAAGACGATAAAGGAGATAAGGATGAAATATAGCATTTTAGGAATGGGAAGGACAAAGGACAATTACTTTTTTTTTTATTTTTTTATTAATCAATTGTTCAACTCAGCATGCCGTGTGTGCCTCCATTAGTTAAAAAAAAAAGGCTCTTTAACAATCACATTTTTTAGGGTTAACATTGGGGTGATACTATTTTGATTTTAAAAGTTTTAGGATGACGTTGCTTTTAAAAAAATTTAATATATCAGGCACTTCTCATGAAAAAATTCTAAAACATTTATGTCCTCTAACCCTATATATAAATCATGAGTAACATTATTCATTCCTTGCAAATAATTTAACTTATTATAGATTTTATTTTAATTTGAATAAAATTTTTAGAAGAAACTTTAATTTTTAAAAAGTTGGTAAACTATTAGTGCAATGGACAGGTCTTATACAACAAATTTATAAATAAGCGACATCTATAATTTTTTATGAAATTTTGCAAGACAACTTTTTCCGAAATAATAATTTCTGATAGACACATTCTAGATATTGTTCCACACATAGTGAACATGTTTGCTGTCGTCAATAATATTAATAGTGCACAAATATGGCATACCAAATAGTAAAAACATGTTATATATAGATACAATTATGGATAGCATAAAATGAATTCGTTAACCAAAAGAATAAGATAAATTGAACAGTATTTTTATTAACTTTTTATAAAGTAAAATCTTTTCAAAATGAATGTGAACGCACAAAATATTGGCATATCCAGCAAATTAATGAATGCACAAGAACATGGGGCTAGAAAAGGTAGTTAATTAAAATATACATAGACTCTAGAAAACAATTAAAAAAAATATAATTATAGCTCCCTATATTTTATTTAAGTTTTTTTATAATTTTTTATACTTTTAATTTTTTTAATATTTTAAATTTTTATAATATTATTGATGAAGGGATATAGAAATACTGAAAAATAAAAATATAAATTTTAAAATATTAAAAAAAAATGCATGAATTTATAACAAAAGTCAAGTAAGATATAAAAATTTAAAGTTATATTTTTACAAAATTATAAGATGTCTGGGTAAACAATTAGAAGAACATGTTGGTTTCCAGTTCACACCTGAAGCTAAACTAAATCCCCCTCTCCCTCTCGACGTTTGTTTTTAATCATCCCGCTCTCTCTCTGCTATCAAAATAGTCTCTTCCCAATGCATTCATGGTCGCTAGCTTTTTCGCAATTCCAGGTTACCTTTTTGCTTTTTTTCCCCTCACTCTCTCCCCTGCTTGAGACGTGAGTTACCCCAGTCTACAATCTGACTGCTTGAAAACATTATGTGCATGTTTGGATTATAACATAACCTCAGTTAGAGTGAGTCAAACCTCGGTTAGAGAAAAAAAAGTGAAAAAATAATGTTTGGATTAACAAAATATCTCAACCACAGTTAGAGCAAAACGAGCGTTTATTCAGAAGCTGATAGTTGAGGCTTTTTTCCTGGCGTTGCGTTGATCTAACCGTTGGAAGCATTGATTATCTTTTCAATTTGTGCATGTTTTCTCTCTCCTCTCATTTATCCAACCCACGAGCTAAGTTCCAGCTTTTCATTCCAGCTTTCTCTTCTCCCGTGACCTCGCAAACTGAAGAACCAGATCAGAGCTCCACCTTCGTTGCTCGTCCGGCGTCCAAGCTCATCTCCACTGTGTTAAAGCAAGTGACCTCCAGCCGATCTCCAGCTTGCTGTCGTCTCTTCTTGTGTCCATCGTGTGCCTGCCCGGAAGTGGTCGTTCTCCCTGGTGCCCATCTATCTCCGGCGTCGACCAACAGAGCTGCTCCTAGTCACCGGATCTACTGCCCGTAAGCTTTTCTTTTGTCTTCTTTCATTGCCTTCCTTGTTGCCTTTTCATTCATGGTCTCTGCTGTAGATCCCGAATCCCTGTTCCAGATCCTGAATCCCTGTTGCAGTCTCTTTTCGCATCTCTGGTCCATGTTCGTCTTTGTTTCCTTTTTCGTTGCCTGCATTCTCTGGTCTGGTCTGTTGTGTTCTTTGTGTGGCATTTTCTGGTCTTTCACTGATTTGTAGTCTGCTGCATTTTTCGGTATTGCATTCTCTGGTCTGTTGCATTTTCTGATCTCTTGTATCATGCGTGGAAGTTTCTTCTTCTTTTTTTTTTTAAATTACAGCTTGGTGAAAGTTTCTGATCATCCTTGGCAGAAGGAGAAACTTATGGTTTCTGTTTATATTTTTTAGCTAGTTCAATTTTTTTCCTGTTCTGTGTTTTTGATTATCCTCAGGTTTGACAGAACAAAAGTAAGCAAGGGCTGTTTTTTCCTGTTCTATTTTTTTTCCTCTTCTATGTTTTTTCGGCCAGGGATTTGGAATGGAACGAAATGTGAACAAAATAAAAGTAAAAAAAAGTTTTATTAGCTTACCCTCATAAATAAAATTATATTTGTCATCTTTTATAGGTTTAAGGATTGATCAAAAAATTCTTGGACTGGAATAAGGGCTGATCAATAAACTAGAATAATTTTATATACTTGCATAGAATGTGAAATAAATTATGTTGGTGAACCTTTGTGTTGCAAAAACATCTGTCCCCTAAAATATACAAACATGTAATACACACGCCTAATGCTTGGTGATTCTTCCAGTTTTTGTATGAAATATTCTGGAGAAAAAAATATGTTAAATTGATACATATATGTAGAGATATATATTGATTTTGCATGTTTGTGATGGCTGGCTAGTCTATACAACAATGAACAGAGACAAAGGAAAAGCTGTGTGGAATTCAACTTTAACAGAAATTTTCATTAAAGAATGCTTGGAACAAGTGTACAAGAAACAAAGGAAAGGAACTGCTTTCAACAAAAATGGGTGGCAGGCAATAATTGAGGGATTTGAGGCGAAGACAGGAAAAAAGTATGAGCGAAAGCAATTGAAAAATAAGCTAGATAACATGAGGAAAGAATGGAACGTATGGCATAAGTTGTTTTCAAGTGAAACCGGCTTAGGATGGGACAGTGACAAGAATACTGTTGATGCTCCAGATGAGTGGTGGGAGCGAAAAATCTTGGTATGCTTTAGTTGTTAAGTGTTTTTAAAATTAGAATTTAATTTGAAAATTTTAATTGTTGGTTATTTGAATGGTTGCAGGAAAATCCTCTTTATGAAAAATTTAGATATAAAGGTCTGAGATTTGCAAGGGAATTAACCTTGATATTCAAGGATGTCCTAGCAACTGGGGAGACACTTTTTGTACCATCTGCTACCCAGACCCAAATAGAGGATGATGATGATGAGGATGTGTACCGCCCTACTATTGACCTTCGAGAAGGCTCCGGTGATAGTGAAGAGGAACTAAATTTATCTGACACTATAGCACCTACGGGGGTCACCGATGAGTTGTTGGGCTTGAATGTCACCATAAATACCGGTGGAACTAGTGGTGATGGAAGTCAAGGCAAGAGAAAGAGGGTGGTAGGCGTTGGTGGGAGGAAAAAGCAAAAAGTCCCTGCCTCAATGAAAATAGCAGATGCGATGAGTGAAATGGCTAAGGATAATAGAGCTAGAACAGAGACAGTGAACAAGATTTTGGCAAATGACATAGGAGTTTCTGAGGTTGTGGCTCACTTAAATGGACTTCCAGAAGTTTTTGGTGATAAAGATTTGCATTGGAGATGTGTCAATCTTGTTCTATACAAGCCTATGCGAGATGCTTACTGGCAACTTAAAGACCATCCTGATCACTTGGTCAATTGGTTGAAGCACCAAGTCTACCATCTACCGGATTTTATTTCAAAGAATACATCAGGATGAATTTTTATTTAGGCTTATGATGACTTGACTGGTGTTTATTTTGACTTAAAGACTACTTGTAGTTGCTTTTGGCTGACTTGTACCTCGCTATGCTTATGATGACTTGACTGGTGTTTATTTTGACTTAAAGACTACTTGTAGTTTCTTTTGGCTGACTTGTACCTCACTATGCTTATGATGACTTGACTGGTGTTTATTTTGACTTAAAGACTACTTGTAGTTTCTTTTGGCTGGTTTGTAATGAATATTTAACTCTTATCTAATGCTTATCTTATGCTTTATTTTTTATGTTATTAAATGATATTTATATACTATGTATTTTATATTATATACAAATGATATTCATATACTATTTTACCTCAGGTTGAAAATCATGGAAGATTCAAATGAATATATGTTAGGTTGGAATGAAGGTTGGGATGTAGATGTAGCTCATCAACTACTTCCCTTGTTACAACAAGATATATCTGAGCAAGAAGAAATATGTCACTTAGTTGGTGAATATGTGATGCCATATGTGTGTAAAGAGCCACGAAGAACTAGCAGGCAAACAGGGCAAATGTGGGTCAATGAGATTTTGCAAGGTCATCCTGATCGTTGTTATGAAATGTTTCGAATGGAAAAACATTTGTTTAGGCAACTGTGTGCGACACTAGTTGAGCTTGGTCTAAAGAAATCTAAAAAAATGGGAGTTGAAGAAATGGTTGGAATGTTTTTGAATACAATTGGACATGGAGTTGGTAATAGGATGATACAGGAACGATTTCAACATTCAGGGGAAACTGTCCATAGAAATTTTCATAAAGTATTAGCTGCCTGCCTTAACCTTTCCAAGGCAAACATAAAACCACTTGATCCTTTGTTTCAACGATGTCATTCAAAAATTCAAAATGATCCACGGTATTGGCCATTCTTTAAGGATGCTATAGGAGCAATTGATGGCACTCATGTGCCATGTGTGGTTAGTGTTGCTGATCAAATTAAATTTATTGGAAGAAAGGGATATGCAACACAGAATGTCATGGCTGTATGTGATTGGGACATGTGTTTTACTTTTGTCATTGCGGGATGGGAAGGTACAACTCATGATGCCCGAGTATTTGATAATGCCATATCAACTCCTTCAATGCATTTTTCGCATCCACCTCCAGGTATATTTTATTAAAGTAACTATAATAATTATTGCATTAATTTAATATTGGTCAAATTTACAACACTTCCTTTTATTTAATAGGTAAATATTATTTGGTTGATTCTGGTTATCCAACACTAAATGGGTATCTTGGTCCATATCGTTGCGAACGTTATCACCTTCCAGACTTCAGGCGAGTTGCAGGATTTGCAAACAATAATGAGGTCTTTAATTATTATCATTCAAGTTTGAGATGCACTATAGAAAGAACTTTTGGAGTATGGAAGAATAGGTTTGCAATTATACGAAAAATGCCCAAATTTAAATATAAAACACAAGTTCAAATTGTTTGTGCAACAATGGCAATACATAACTTTATTAGGAGAAATTCAATTACTGATGAGCAATTCATTCAAGCTGAAGATGAAAGTGTAGATGTCCTTGAGGAAGATATCGATATTGGTGAGGCATCCTCGTCAAATCTACCCGGATCATCAAGACAGATGCAACATGTTCGTGATATAATTAGAGACCAGCTTGTAAATCATATCAATTGAACATTAGTTTATTTTAGGTTTTTGTAATTGAATATTTAAGATATTTTACTTATTAGTTGTGATTTTAAATTTAATATTTTTACTTATTAGTTAGTCTAAAAATATAATCATGCTTATTTAAGATTTAATATTTAAGAAAAAAATTCATACTTATTTTTGTCATTAAACATTTTAACTGGCTTTTGAATCAAATTATCCAAACGAATTTCAGTTTATCTAACTAACTTTTAAAAATAAGGTATCCAAACATAAATCACGTTACATTAACTGACTTTTTTTTTAACCTTAGTTTGCTAACCTCAGTTGAATCTTAACTTCAGTTATAAAATTTTTAATCCAAACACACCCTATATCTGTTGCTCATTTTTGTTTGTAGCCATGTATACATCTCAGTTGGACTATCCAGAATGAGATTTCTACAGTTAAATCCTCTTTCCATTTGACGCCAACCAAATCCAAACCTTCCGTGCTACTTGCCACTTGACTCTTTCTTTTTAATATAAAACATGACGTACTTGACCTGGCACACCAACGGCAAACCCACGATTGTTCGTTTTGAATAATTTAAAACCTCTGTGATACTGATTTGGACATTTTCAGTCAACAATGTCTATCGTTCTTTTCCCCCTTCCCCAAACTGCATCTGCGTGACATCTATTCAGGTGGAATTTTCCTTCAACGACGGCTATTATTGGGTGTCTTCAGTTATGAGATTTCGTTGGTGTTTATGTTTGTCTTTTCTTTTCCTTTTTCTATCATAATGCTCTTACATTATCTTTCCGGTTAAACCAATGTAACAGTGTGTCTGTGATCATGGCCAGGCCAGCGGCCGCAACGGCTTTGACTGTTACTCGGCATCCCCACACAAGATCTCAACATAAACAGAAATGTCAGCTTTGTGATCTTATGAAGGATGTGAATTTTACACGTCCCCTGGTATTAGTAGAGGAAAGTGGAGACTTTGGTGGATGTTTAAGACCAGATACACCTATAGGCGGAATATGTTCTCTGTCCCCTGTTGAACACGAAACCTACTCTGCTTCATTTTACCTTCGCGCCAATGGGTCAATAGTCTCGTGGTTTTGAATGGTGGCAGGCTCATCTATTTTTTGGAGCAAAAACGCCAATTTTTTTTACTGCTTCAGATTAAATGCTACTGAAAATATTTCTTTTCCGGAGAGAACCATCCTAAAAGCTCATCATAATTCTTCACAGAAATTGCTCAAGAACGAAAAGGCTGCTGTTACTGTTTGTGCAAGGAGCGTGAGTCTGAATGACGCTCGGGCGACAGGTTCTTCCCTTAGCTTCTCTGGTAATTCAGCCTCAGGGTATTCTCATGCGTGTTCGTCTGAGAACCATACAACTACTCTCAGCACTAATAGCGATTCTTCTCCTGAGGTTTTAGATTGAGACAAAGCTAGTTATTGGCATTCTTTATTTAATCTCCAAGGGGAAGACGATGAGTGGCTTTCAGATTTCAAGTCTTCAAGTCCTTTTAGCACCAAGTCTGATTCTTCCACCGAGGCTTCCGATTTAGACGGAGTCACTTGGTTGGATTATTTACTCGGTCTCCAAGAGAACGAGGACCGTGAATGGATTTTAGTTTCGAAGACAGAATTTGAGTATTTTGATTTTCCAAGCCTTTCTCGTAAGAGCCGTTGGGATCCAGAACTTCTTTCATGGGCGGAATATCTATCACAAACCCGCAACACGGAACAAGTCATAACTGATGAACCACTCTTCTGGCCATTCCAAGAGGAATTTAATTGGAATTCTGAAGAATTCTGGAGCTCATTCTGCATCTCGCCCAGGAAGCATGTAAATCTTTTTGGTTCGCCAGCTAAATCCTCTGGCTCGAAACTTGTAGGGGAAAAGTTAAAACCCAGGAAGCAGTGTGCAAGAGGGCTTGTCTCTGGCAAACAAGATGGTGACGAGGCTGAATGCGGATCAAAATCTGAAACTCCAAGGCGTAGCACGCTATCTACAATTGGTTCAGCAAAAAAAGCACCTTCAGTAAAAAGAGTACACAGAGAAAGGCCAACGATCAAACCATTATCCGCTGGCAAGAATTCAATTAGGAAAGATCTTTTGTTAAAGAGACTCGTTACAATGGAAAGGGGATATTTTGCAGTGGAGCGAGAACTGCCAATAGAGACGTTGGTCGGGCTCGAGGAATTTGACGGGCATGAGGGGCTTGATTCAGAATTTAATGGGAATGCTCCTGTCTTGGATGAATGAGTGAATATCCGTGATAACTCAAGCACATGACTCTAGTTGTCCGGATAAGTGACATTTACCGGGAACAGGTTCTCTACTGTCCTCACCTAGCTACTTTGCTGAGTTTGCTCTCTTCTGCTCCATTAAAATATGTGGCGGGTTTAAATTTTTTTTAGAAACAGGAGCCAGAAAAAAATAAAGTGTTTCATAGAACGGGGAAAAGGACGGAGATATGAACCGAGAGAGAATTCCAGCCCACGTTATTGCTGTTTCACAGACCTTTTGGGCAGGGCCTGACGCACCGCTCCTAGATTCTTGTTCAGCGTGAGGAACTTTCTGCATGAGTATGATGGCTAGCGAGCATTCCCCCCCCCCCCCCCCAAAAAAATAAAAATAAAATAAAAGGCCATGCTTTACAAGGCGAGAGGTTTAGATGCCTTTCCTCCTCCTCCTCCTGCTTTTTAACTACTACTACTACAATTCTACGATCTAAAGGAAGTTTATGAAAAACCAAAAATTTAAGTTGAGGTGGTGACCTGACCAACCAATGCGCCTTTTGTTAAGTAATTTTTGTTGACATAAGATTGTGATCATGTAAAAAGATTAGAACTTAAACTAATATTCAACGAGTCAACATTTTTAAAACGTGACTCTCAATTTGTTAAAATTATTATGCTCATGCCTGGTTTGACAACACTTGAATCCAATATACTAATACATGAAATCAGATATTGTATTGAGAGCAGAATTGGTTTCGGAAGGGTTAAAAGAGCTAATTCCAAGGGGCATGCAACATTACCCAAACCTGAGTGATCCGCGAATCAAAATAAATCGGAGTACACTGAGAGTGCTTAAAGATGGGTCTGGAAGGCCATAACCAAAACTCTGCCAGTTTTTCCCGCGTTACATTTGTGCAGTTTGACTTTTTCTAACCTGACGCAAAAAGTCGAACGAATTAGTCAAAGGTGCTCATGGAAAGAGAAATGAAATGTAGCTTTGACCCACTAGAGAAGGAAAAAAAGAAAGAAAGGCCGGAGTGGGAAATAGGGTGGAAGTTACAGAATCCTTGAAAAACACCAAGGCCATGTTTGGTATGATGGAAGAATTTTTAATGAAATCGGAATCGGAATCGGAATCGGAATCGGAATAGAATTGGATTTAAAAGTGTGTTTGGTATAATGATGGAATCATGATATAATTTTAATAAAATATAAGTACTTAAAATAAGAAAAGACTAAAGTGTCCTTTTTAAAATTAAAAAAAATTATATTGAAGGAGAGAGAAGGGGCAAATTGAAGAAAAGGAATCCATGGAATTGGATTACATGATGCATATGATGGAATTGAATTCCATCAAATTTTCTTGAATCCTGATTCTAAAGAATCATAATTATTGCATACCAAACACACATGTTAACAGATTCCATGTCCAATTTCATTTCTTTTTTCATAATTTCAAACTATTAAAGGGAGTCCAAAATAGAAGCCCGCGCCACAGTGCCAGCAGCTCAACGATGACTAACCGAGCTCGAAAGCATTTGTCTAGTAGGGGCGGGGAAAAAAAAGTGCATTGTGGGCCCGGCCGAAGAACACGTTGGAAGGTTAAACGACAGCCGACCACGCCGCCGCTTTCTACCTCCAAAGACGCCCCTTGTCATTTCCCCTTATTTACCACGCTCAACCTCGAGACCACCGTATTCTCGAGATCCTCCCCCCCCCCAAACAAAAGGGTCGTTTTGGAATTCGAGCGCGTCTCTCAGTCGCAGCTTCTCTGTTTCCCTGCTTTCCCCCATCTCTTGGTTGACTTGGGGTTGGCAGTTTGAACGTCCTGTTTTCTCTATATCCCAGTGCCTCTTTCTCCAACAGGAAAATAGATTCAAGTGTTCTTCCTTCTCCCAGATTTCGTGTTGAAATTCTTCCCGATCGCTGCCATTCACTTCTCTGGTAGGTCTTTTGTTTATTTTCTTGTTCGATTTCAGATTTTCATCTACTATGTTTTTTTTTTTTTTTGCTGAGGTGATGAACCTTTGATTTGTTTTTCTTGTGTTGATATTTGTCTCTCTTATTCTTAACAAGCGAACGCCCTGCCTTCTCCGTTTTGTTTTGGTTGGTTAGCTTGCTCACAATCATGCGTATGGATTTTACTTCGTAGCTGTCGCTAATCTAACTGTGGCTTCCCAATAAATTTACATAGCATGTGTTGCCTTTAGATTTTTGGGCAATTATTTCTTCTTGATACCACAAAACGGAAAATATTGTCCCAGCAAGCAATTGATGATTTTTTTTTTTTGGTTGAATACAAAGGCCACGGAAACGTGCGGAAAACTAGCTAGCAGTTTGTAGCTCATGGCGGAAATCTTCGAAGACAATGCCTCTACACAGAAATTGATGATTTGAGCTCCTCCTAGATTATCATTTCCAGATGTGTTTGAAGAATTTATTTCTTTAATTTCCCCTTTCGCTTCTGGAATTTGCTATAGAAGGTTTTCACTTTTTTCTGATTAGAGTTCAGTGTCTTGTTTCTGGAGTTTCTCCTAATACATGCATATTCCATCGTTTAGTAGTAGCTAAAAGTCGATGGATTCTTATCATAATTTTCTATTAATTTTTTCTGTCAAAGATCTCAAGATTTGGAATCATCTGGGTTTATGGTATATTTGTGGATATGCATTTTTAATGTTGTGATTATGCAATAATATAAAGCTCATCTTCTCAGAGAGTCGCTGCCAAATATCTGCTGCAATGCGTGCACCATCATTGCTTACACAGTGCTTGTCTGGCTTGGTGGCTCATGATCGTGGAGGTCACAGCGTAATCTCCTTTCCGGAGAAAGATATACACCTGCCATCACCAGCAGTTGAGATTCTCCCATCTAAGGTATACTTTTATTCACATTATCAGGCAAAGTTCATTGCAATTGATGGGGCCATTGTGGATAACATTGTTACTGAAATTTCATATTTCTAATGTTTTATAGGCAGTTCACCCTTACAAGTACATTGGGGATAATGCAGACTTTCAAGGGGTCCATTTTAAGGTACATCTTAGTCTGTTTCATTCTTTAGGTGGTCCTTTTGATGGTATAATTGGATGGCATCTTTCTCCAATGGAGTTCTTTATGGATGATAGTTGTTCGTTTTCTTGGAGTCATTTTTAGCCGAAGGATGCAGTTGGTTGATTTTCTGTTTGTTTATTTTATATCCTTGAAAATTTTCATCTCTCCAAGTGTCAATCTGACAAAGTGTTTCTTAGTTTGATAACTGCCGGCTTTCACATGGCATCTGATGTGGAAACTTTTAAACTGCTTTTACCCCCAATGGGTTTGTATATTCTTTAAAATATTGCAATTTTTCCTGTTAAATGTATAATCAAGTTTTTTCCAAGGCTGCAATTTGTGATTGTATAGCTGTTTGATAGTATGGTTGATGCTATATTCAATCCCATACAGGGTAGAGTCAGCATTGCTGATATCATTGGGGCCAGTGGTTCAGAGACAGTATCCTCAAAACTTGATGGTATGTATGTAAAATTATAGTGTCCAAATTGAAAATTGATGCTAAAAGCTTGATTGTTTTTCTTCGATGAACTTGCATGTTCTTTCTTATAATTTACATGAGCTTCCCTTGTACATACACGTAATGGAGTAATTGAATAGTAATGCAGTCATGCTAATATGTAATGGTTTACCTAGAACATAGGCTAATTGGCATTTAATGATGTTGAGAAAATATAGAGAGCAAGTGTTAGGAAGAACAAAATTCTATTCAAAACACTTGATGATTAATGTTTGCATAACACTGACCCCTCTACCTCTATTAATCTAGACACGACATTTACACCTGTTATTTTTGGTGCATTAAAGATAACACTTCCTTAGTTTACGAGACTTACAAAAATTTTCAACACTTCCCAACCGTGTAATAATTCTATTAACCAAGACGACATTCCTAATATCTCTAGACAAAGGAGAGGGCAAATGGGAAAATTAATGATCTGAGAGTCTTGCAAAGGGAAGTATCTTTTGCTTATATGCACATACACAAGGATACAAGGTATGATGGTATTACTTAATTTAATTGACTTTGCAGGGTACCTGAAATCCTGGGACAGTTCCATTGATCTTGTTAGTGTTCTTAAGCATGAGATTCGTGATGGTCAACTGAGCTTCAGAGGCAAAAGGGTACTTGAGGTAACTAGTCTACACAGTTTTTTCTCATTCTATAATGCTTTTATTTGATTATTCTCGATTCTCTTTGTAGTGTCCCCGCCTCCTGTCACAAAAAGTGGCATCCATGATATCTGTTGATGAAATAGTCTCCTTCTCTGTGGATTCATCTTATGATTCATCTTTATCTTCTACTGTCTGTTTCATGCAGCTTAGTTGCAACAACGGACTTCCTGGGATCTTTGCGTGCTTGAAGGTAAACCTAGCCTGAACACTGTGCTGTTTCTTGTGGAAGTGTTGCCTGTATTTGACGGCTAGAAACAATAACATTTTAATTACTTTAAATACCAGTTTTTATGTCTCTGAACTGTACTTTTAAGTTGTAGATATAATGTTTAAGCTTTTTATGTCATTGAGCTGTGTAGTTGTAGGGCTTATGTTGGTTTGAGTGCTTCAACTGCTGAATATTTTTCCCTTCATGATAGGGTATATACTTAAGGACAATGAGTGAAGAGCGACTCTAATGTGCTTTGTCCTCCATGTGGTTTACTTCACAGGGAGCATCCATGGTGCACTTCCAAGATCATAATGCTGAAACTATTAGGTGCACTACCATACCAAATGTCCTTGCAAATCTTGAGCAAGCTCGTGATCGGCAGTGTCGGCAGCCAGAGTCTCCTCTGACTCCTTCAAGACAGACACTAGCACCATCAGTTAGCTTTTATGCTGGAGACTGGGAAGAACTGCCCTCTGTGTTGTCTGTTGTGAAAAATGATGGGTATGAGGTGACACCTGCAATGAGTTTGAGCTTTTCAGAAGATGATTTCATGGATGCATGTAGTAGTCAAGATGGTAGCATCTTGGGACATGAAACCTTTTCAAGGAGATCTAGGAAGCTCTCTGGAAGCCGTGCTTGGGAAAGAGCTGGTGAGGCAGACCAGAGAGAGAGAGGTTATGATGTTATTCTAATGACGGAGATACCATATTCTGTTTCCTCCACAAAGAAGCTGTATGCACTTATAAAAAAGGTTTGATTCCTTATACTTGGTTTCCTATGCTCACCAAAATTATGTGCTTGGTTTCTCAACGAGTTTAATGCAGATACATGCATGCATGTTCATTCTCAGTCTCACCTAGGCCTAGCTAATACCTTGATAATATTTGGAAGAGTCTGCAAATGTGACCTCTCTCTGCTGTTTGAAATCCTTCACGATTTTTTTTTTTTTTTAAAGTAATGTGGAATATGGTTCTTTATGCTGTACTATATGACACTGCATATGAAGTGCCTCCTTTTGGTTGTCTTGATTTTCAACCGCAGATTGTTAAACGGCAGGTTTTTTAATTCATCTGTTTGTCCTTTTGATTAGTGCTTGAGGCCTCCATATGGAGTGGTTTATCTTGCAACAAAGAAGAGCTATGTGGGCTTCAACAATGGAGCAAGGCATCTGAGGAGCCTGGTAGATGAAGAGGGCATATTTGGAGCTCACTTAATCAAGGATTTGTCTGACAGATATATTTGGAAATTCTTTCACAGGTGATCAGGATACTGAAATCCAATAGACTGCAACGGCCAACCACAGCCAAAATTTTCTTTCACGTCAGTATTCTGGTTCACGAGCATTCTTTTGTTTTTTTTCCTCCCACAAATAATTGCTTCTATTTTCTTAGCAAGATACAATGGGGATCAGAAATTCAAAAGCTAGGTAAGCATTGGTGTACGCTGGGTTAGCGGATTGCTGCTCGTAATTCGTTTACGCTCATGATTTTAGCACGTGCAAAGCACGGTTAATTTATTGTAAATAAAATGGTCTTACGTATTATAATGCAGAACATGTTATAGTTGAATTGAGTGAAGTGCATAGTTTATAACGTCGTCATTTATCTAATTCTAGCATTTTAAACCGTCTGTAACTATGAATTGAATTCAGTGTTGCATTTTTATACGATTGTTGTAAGGATAAAAAAACTATTGTGTTCTTTGATAATACTAATAACTAATAATTATTCATTAGGAAATGTTTAAATTATTTTTTATATGATTATCAAATTGGGTTAGATTACGGTATTGTTGGATTTAACTGAAAATGACTTTCTCATAATTTTTTTTTAAATGCTCACAGATGCTTTAATATGATATCTCACATTTTAAGTATTACAGTTTCCTTCACTAAGATCAAAGTAATTTAGTGGGAACTATATAGGCATGTTCTTTGATGATGATAATGCATGGGTGTAAATGGGATAAATAATTGTTTATGTAAATGATAAGGATTAAGGCATATTGAGAAGTGAGAACTTGTGTTTTTAAATTAAAATAAATGTTAACGTAAACTTAATTTTTTTTAAACATAATTTTTTGTTCTTACAATTTTATCAAATTTTATTTTTAATTTTTTTAATTTTTTTAAATATTTTTAGTCTTTATAAAAATTAAAAATATTAAAAAAATTGAAATTATAGGAATATAAAAAACAAATGTTATTTAATTTTTTTGAAATTATAAGGATTTAAAATAATAAAAAAATTATAGAAATAAATTTCAATAAAATTATAAAAATAAATGATTATGTTTTCTTTCTTTTTTTTTGGTAAACCAAAGTTACTTACTTTATGTGCGTGACAATATTAAGTTAAATGTACAATTGATTAGCATTGTTCGAAATAATAATAAAAATCAATAATTTATGTTCACATAAAGAGTTTAATTATTTATACTAATTTTATTTATACGGATACATGCATACATAAATTCAGCTTTTGAAGTTACATTAGTAATTATGTTTATATTTTTTCTTTCCAAGTATGCAATTATTTATATTTATAGCAATAATAATTATTTGCAAATATTATTGTCCTTTGCCACTAATTTACATCAATACAATGATATATACAAGATACAACTATATGAGAATCTCTTCCAAATATGGAGAATCACTTGGTTCAATGACATCCTACACCCCGTTGAAAAAAGAAAGTTGCGAAGTTTTATCCTCTAGTAACCTTGGGAAATATAATTATATATGTAACCCAATTCTAACCACATATACAACCCCACTCAATAAGATATATAGGATAACACCAGCACCACTACTCGTTCACATATAACGCCTGCACAGCACCTTGGCACTTCTAACTACATAAGAAAAGGCATGGGCTGGAGGGAGACGAGAAGCGAATAAAAAGTAAAGATGGGTCATAATAAACAAAGTCATCAAAGGAAAATTTCAATGAGCCGAATCCTTTTCCTTCTCATTGCAATTTCAAGTCCTAACAGATTTTACGGTTAATATAAATCCTGAATTATATAGACCTAATGATAATTTAAACCCGGTACGTTTTAAGTTTTAAACAATTAAATTTTACTGTTAATTTTTAAAATTGTGGGCCCATCATCACCGTCTCTCCTTCTCCACTCTCTCTCCCCCTCTCCCTTGTTCTCCTGATCTATCAACTCCAGATTTTATTTATGCATAAAACTTAAGAAAAATAAGGCCTTACTTCGAACCTTAACTACCAGTCATGCATTTATTGGATATGGCAGGCAAAAGTCAACAAAAATTGATGGAAAAAAAAAATTAATCATTTCATTCTTATAATTTTAACTCAATTCTTTAACTTTAACTCGTTATAACTCAATCCTTAAAGTTTTGATTCAGTTATAAATCAATCCTTGAACTTTAACTTTTACAATTTAATCTTTAAAGTTTCAACCTCTTAAATATGGATCTGTATATTTTAAAAAGTAAAATTATAAAAATTAAAAATATTTTAAAATTTTATTATTTATAAAGATTAAAAGAGTTTAATAATTTAAAATGTTAGTAATAAATTTTAAAAAAATTTTAATCTTTATAATTTTATTTTTTAAAATATAGGGATCAATATTTAAGAGGTTAAAACTTCATGAATTAAATTACAAGAGGTAAAGTTTAAAATTGATTTACAACCAAGTCAAAATTTTAAGGATTGAGTTACAATTAAGTCAAAACTATAAAAACCAAAAAATTAATTTTTGAAAATTATTACGGACATATGCTGATAATATAAGATATTTTTTTAGCCAACGCATTAATAAGAAACATGAACAATAATATGAGAAACAATAACAAACACAGGATCAATACCCTAGAATGTAAATGACTGAACACTACAGTATTCTTAGGAAACATAATGTAATTGTGTGCAGTACTCCAGATTTGAAATTCACAATATCGAGAACAATAAAAACCACACCATATAATGCAGTACATAATGAGATGAGTTTATACATCCCACCGGGTCTTTCAAAAAGTCAAATGACAATCACTTGGTTCATCAGGTGTGCCTTAAAAAAGAAGCAATAAAATAGCAAATGCGTCAATTAGTTGCTCTACTAGCACCAACATTTACATTAGCACCTGTTTGTACATGGTATACAAGCATAAGGATTCAAAGGTATAATACTCAAGGATAATGATAAGATAAAGTCACGTGCCTTCTAAAGACTTTCACCATCTCACAGAAAGGGCTGCTGCGTAATAGTAATAAGGGTCATTCAAAAATTGCTGCGTAATACTACTACGGTAATAGTAATAGTCTAATGATTTCAATTTTATTAGAGCTATGGGAAAAAAAATAAGAAGGCAAAGGGAGAGGAGGGAGTTATAGTAATGGTTAAGGAAGTCAAGTGATGATAAGGAAGTATTTCATGAGATTGATTTCACCCATTTGCTAACCGATAATTCTCAAAGGAAAACGGGAAAGCACTCAATCTTGATGTGTTTCTGCTTTCGCTTTATGAGAAATATATGCAAACAATGCAAGATTATGATAAAATTTAAAATAAAAGAATAGGAAGTTATGATAATAGGAAAGATCCTACGAGAGAATACTAAAACTATGTTAAAATTAAGTACAAATATTTTAAATTACTAACTTTTAATCTTCACAAAGATTAAAATCTATTTTATAATTTTGTTTTTTTAAAATACAAGGACTAATATTTAAATGGTTAAAATTATAGGGACTAAATGTTAAAAGTTAAAGTTTAAAAACTAAATTACAATTGAGTTAAAATTAACAAAACCAAATTATGATAAGTCAAAATTTAAAAATTGGATTACAACTTGATTAAAATTTAAAACTACAAAGACCAAATGATCAATTTTCTCAAAAAAAATATTTAGCAATTCCAGTTAAACTGTTATAGAACTTTATAATTATATGAGCTTCTTTTATTTTTTATTAATCATTAATATTTAATAAAATTAAACAAAAAATAAATTGGAAAACCCGATCCTGACAAGTTTACTCTAATATAATTTCCACTACATGATAACTCCTCACCTGTCATTGCCAGAGTCTGAAAGCAATTGCGATCAAACTCTTTGCCATGGCTTTAACAAGCTTGAACCTGACGTCAAGGGAGGCTTCAGAAACAGCATTAAGTTGAATAAGGTCCAGCACATTTACCCACTATGAAAAATGGGATCCTAAGATCAAGTAAACACTTTCCATTACCCATAAAATTTAAGCACTACCTAGTATCTCGGATGTTCAACTTCCAACCAATATAGCGAAGACAATCAACTATACACTGAGAATAGATTTTACAAAGGTTACTGACATGACTAACCCTATCTGCTCTGGTTTTCAGTCAGCCTTCTCCATACTATTCTTCCACAGTTGAATAAGTTCAGCATTGCAATGAAATATAGGAGAGGAATTCCAACAATGCAGCCACCAGGCGCCAAGTTTACGAGAGTCTATTAAGTCAACGGCAAGAAGCTAGTGTCATAAATACGATTTCCAAATTGATTGGGAACTATTACAAGGATATGATCATGTGATTTCCAGTTTCACATCAATGACTCAGAATTTATTCATTGCAGCACCAAATTTAAAAGTGTTTCTAATGTAAACGGCAAGAAAACAGTGTCATCAACGTTAATTGTGAAACCAAAAACTATCACAAACGCATGGTATAAGGAAGTCTGAAATTGGTATTGATTTACACCCCCCCCCCTTTTTTGGGTTTTTTGGGAGGGGGGGCGTTTACCATTTATTTCGGTCTTTCAATGTTTCCTCAAAATTATCCATATATAAATAGAAACCTATTGACTGAAGTTTTGCTATGAACAAAGAATGAGGGCTCAAACAAATCAAGTGACATGCAACCTCAAGCTCGACTCACTGCAGCGGCGCACCCACCACATCCCCCCCCCCCCAAAAAAAAAAAAAATGGTTTCAACTACTATTATTTAGTACGCACGTTTGTGTTAGAAATAATCTTATATCATTTGCTTTAATGTAAAAAATTCTTGTGAAGATTGTTTTATGGTCGAATAAGCAATAGCTTGTTTATCTAGGCTTGAAAAATAGATGACAACTTAAGAAGCTATAGTTACGCCTTTATGCTAAAGTTTCTTTATCTGGCCCTGTGCAAAATACATGTTTGAGACAAACACAAGAGCAAAGGGATGGCTAGTTAAAAGCTACTGTTGTGAGATATATGGCATAAATCAGCATTTGAAGAGCAGGAGTTTACCACCATCCCTGCAACAAGGTGGACAATGGGAACAGTATATTGGTCCAGTTTATTCCCCTCTGCGTATCCATTAAATGCAATGACCATTGAGAAAGTGTGAATTGTGACAAATGCAAGAGCAATAATTGCTGCAACAAGTAAATGAAACGGGAAAAAAAAGATTAGCTAAATGAGGGAAAGAAATGAAATTTTATTGCCAAAACCTAATTCCATAAATCCAATTTTTCAAGAAAATATTGTTTATGCAAGAAAACATATTTTCTTTTCTTCCCTTCTCTTTTAAAGTAAAGTCAAAGATCCCTCAGCCTATTGACTCCTGTATTTAATGAAAGAAAGACACATTCAAATTTCACAAAAAAAAAAAAAGTTTTAAAAATGTAAAGACGTAGAATGCCATGCCATAAAAATGAATATAAGAATCTACCAGGGAGAAAGCTCACCAGAAAGAAGGAAAAATGGTATCTGTGAGCATCTGTCAGAAAAAAATGTAGCTGGACCAAATGCAGGAGTCAATAGGCTGAGGCAGAAGAACACAGCATGTGCCACACCATGACCCAAACCACCGGCTGTGAAGAACATGTATAAATGATGTTAGAAGAACTGACTATCATGAATGATATAGATCCTACTCCAATAAGCCATAGAGATAGCATTTCAACAAATGATTCCATATTCTCTTGGGGATAATATCCAATTAAATTCATGGATGCAGCTAGTTAATTGCAAAATAACCCCCCAAAAAAATATTGAGCAGTATCAGCTAGGTTCTTGGGACAGCTAAATAATGATTGAAACAAGATCAGAAGACCTCAGTATTCTTACCCAGAGCAATTTGCATTTTATCAGTCAGTGAAAGATGTGGTTTTGATACTCTGTCAGCAAAAGCGTCTAAAATATCTTCCAGCCTCCTGAGCATTGATCAACAGGAGAAAAAAAAGATTAAAAAAACTATATTGTTGCCAGATGCAAAAACAGCAATAATACACCTCAATATTACCATATAATTTTTTAAAAGCAGGGGTTGTCACTCTGTTAGAAAATAGAACAAAAGTTATCCTCACTTTATAGCATGCAGTAAGTAGAAGATTAGTCATTTCAAAGAATCAAATATAAAGTTTGATGCCAACTAGCGATGGCAACAAGAATATACAAGTAGAACATTCAACTTGAGGATGTCGTTACAACATCATTTGGCCCGCTAGAAGGCAGACACCATCAGCAAGAAATAAACAATTAAGTAAGTTAAGAAACATGATGAAAGAAAGGCCAACTTCTAAGCATTCGTTCAGCTATATTGGAGCCTTCACAGCTGAAATTGTCTAAATCCATCAAGCAATATTTCGAAGCAAACTTTACCAAAGGAAACATGATGCATCAGCCAATTTTCCAAACTCCAATGCAAAAAATACAAAATCTAAAATAAGAAAAGAAAAGAGGAGTAACTAAGAGCGACTTTTGAAGCAGTGCTAGGATTTCACAAAAAGAAAGAAAATTATCTATGTAAAAGACATTGAGATAGCGCGAATGCATAAGAATACTTTATAACAATACCGACTTACTTGTAGACTTTCCAGAATAAAACACGAAGCCCTTCTTGGAAAGCAACAGACGTCAATATAAGTATTCCAAAAGGCCACCATGTCGTCCTTTTTAGAGGAAGGAAACCCCTCCATACTCCAGACAGCACAATCAAACTTATAAGCCACAGCAACGTACTAAATACAGCAATATACAACACTACATCAGTATTAAGTACCTAACGTACTTAAGATATTTTAAAACAGGAAGTGTCACGGTTCATCCATGCCAAAGAAGCTCATTTTACGTCGTTATAGAAAAGCAAATAACTTCTTCCAACAGAAAAATCTTTCTTGTCCTGTTAATCAAGTTCGGTGTTCCAACAAGATAAAGACATAAATTTTCTAGTGACAACATGAAAGCTTCGTAAGAGTATTAAAAAAAAAAAAACAGAGAGAAAAAGAAACAAATAGACTTTATTTTAGAAGTTCAAGTATCAGATCAACAATTTAAACGCTCAAAGTCAAAACATATTAATTGGATAGAAATTCAGATATCCGTTTAGATGCACAGCTTTCTAACCAAGAAAATTGTTTATAAACGATTGGGAATAAAAATATCATCTTGTAACTGGTAAACTTCAGGGAAAACGCGAATGAGAAAAGCAGGAAGTAGCCCCGTAAGCTCATACGAATTGTAAATTACACTCCAGATATGTTTCAAGCAATAGCTTCTATTTAGTCTCAACTTTTTCATGCCAACGTTTAGCTTAATATGAAGATCACAAGAAAGATAAAACACAAGAAAAATGTGATAGAAAAATGGGGGAAAGAAAACCAACAGAAAGTGTGTACCTGGAGAGAACAGTGAGGATTAAGAACGGCTTTTTGGAAATTACAGAGACGAAGAGGGAGAGAGACGGGCCTAACGCTAGTAGCGCGTACCCGATCCCTGCCGCTACCGTCATTTCGCCCGATCACCGAGGAGAACCAACCAACACGATAACATTCACAGGGTCTGTTATCAGCCAAGAAACTCGAGAGTTGAATGATCTACTACGTCGGACCGGGTAGATAGAACCATATTTTATTATTTTCAACCCGTAAGCTGAGTTTCGCTCTAATTGTTCTGATTGGGCCATCGAACCCATTCTGCCAATTCGAAGGGGCTCGTCGGGAGAGAGCCCAAAATCTCAGTCCAATAATTAAGAAATCAAAATTAATGTGAGCGATAGAAGCTTTCATTGCCAGTTGGGCGGATAAAACCTTTATGCATATAATAACTTTCTTAGTTGGGAGGAGATGAATTGTATTGCGGGCGGAACTTTACTCCTTGTACTATGAAAAAAATATGTACAAAAGAGTTTACCAGAGAAAATTAAGCCCTCGCATCATTTAAAGGAGAAGAAAATTTTGGAAGTTTGGTGCGGAAGAAAAAAAGAGAAGACCCCGCCCACTGATCAGTCTAAAAGCTTATCACAGTTTGAGGCATTTCTTCTCCTTTTGCTCTCAATGCAAGGCCGTGGATGGTGCGAGGTGTAATTTTCCATGGTGAAACGACAGAACAAGCATCCCTCGCATCAATTTGAAAATGTGCTTCCTCGTTACTATCTAGATTAGATTGATATTGATTTATTGATTATTATTATTGTAGCTGGTGCTGTTGTGCCATTTATCAATAATAGATTTGAATTGAGGTTGATTCCTAACTTTCTATCACTTTAAATGTGTGTTTGATTTTCAGTTTATACTTGGTAAAACACATTTGAAAATTTGAACAATTTGTTGCATTTGTAGAAGTATCCTTCTAAAATTCTACTATACTATATCTCTCCCGTATTTCATGCAATTGTACCTTCCCTTGTGGAATGAAATAAATCCATTCAAATTAGGCCGATGTGGTAAATTACCTTCAATAAAACTAACTATACCATTTTCGAATTTGTGATAAATTAATTTCTAATTAAGTGTGTTGATATGATCAATGATTACCTTCAGATCACGTTAATATCTTAGCAGTGTGTTTATGATGTTTGCAAATAACTCCTGATGGCAACCTTGAACAGTTTGTTATCAACATGATAAGCTGTGCAGCAACCAGTTATCAACAACCCCTTGATGAAATTACAGCATTCTAAAAAGCTAATATTTTTGGCCAAAAAACAGCTAAAAAGTTGCCACTAATAATATTTTTCAGTTAGATATACGATTTGTGTTTATTAATTGTAACGCGTGCGTTTGATATATATATATATATATATATATATAAAGGGTAAAGGGCCAAGTAAACCGTGGGAAGATTACTCCAAAAACGATACTCTTGAGGAGTTTCTAGCTTTTGAAGAATATTTAGAGTACGAAATCTTAAAATTATTATTGTTGGACTGGACTGGACCCTGCATATAAACTAATAAACATATACTGAAAATTCTTTCAGAAGTGTTCAACAAAATGTGGCTGCAGTTAAAGAGAATGTCACCTCCCACCGAAGAAGGAAAATAAAATACTTTCCCGCCTATTTCAGGCACTTGGAGCATCAATGCGGGCGACGGTCTGTAGAAGAGGCATCTATAATCGGTGCAAAGAATGAATAAATAGCCAGACTGGGAATGAGAAGAGACATCAGAGAGAGGAAAAAAGGCCATATCCGTGTACGTGTAGATAGACACGTGTGGGTGTTTGTGCGTGTCGACGGCAACCTCGATCCATTGGCATCCAGCGCTCTCAAGAATTTATCAAAGGGGCTCGAATTTGGTAGCCTCACAGAATATTTGCTCTTCGTGGTCACATAGACACTGGAAAACTTGTTCCTTCTCTGGAAAGGGCCTTGGTGACTAACTTCAGATCTCCTATGGAAAAATTATGCACCTGCAAAACAGAACAGTAGCTAGTAGAATCAAATGAGCTGTACAATCACCAAATGATAATCACTGACATTAAATGTACATCTCCATGCATCATTTATGCATCACTAAATCTCACAAGATTTTAAGAGGTTTTGAAAATCATAAGTAGAAGAATCTAAAAAGGAGTGAGCTATATACCATTGGCTCAATCCTTATACTTCACACTTTTTTTCTCATCATATTTAGATGAGCAGGTACTGAGCGAGGCCTATATATTTTTTAATTCGTGGCAATCAGATAAACAATCATGATTCTTGAATAACTACCTAGAACAGTCACACAGTTTGAATATGACAACTATGCACAGTTCATCTTTATCTGAAATCTCAACTCAATGCATCAGTGGAACTTTCAGGCTCATTGCAGGTTTGCACATCAAGCAATTTAGAAGAAACAATCCAACCTTTCAAAATGGTCTATTTTCACAGCAAAGTAATAAAAGAATAACATCATAAAAAGCCTAGCCTTAGAAGGCAATTTGAAAGAAACCTCCTCGCCCTGCCCCAGGCCCCTATTATTGGCTAGCAAAGGCAAGGTATCATCAATAGCACCATACTCCAAAAGTCAGTTGACTGTTATAAACCAATTGAGCACCAAAGAAGAAATCCTGAGTCCTTTATATTATATATTTTCCTTTTTCCTGAAAATTACACCTTTCATCAAGGACATAACCACTCACCTTGGTAGGCAAAGGGGGAAATACTACTTCATTTTCACTTGACAAAATCACTGCCTTTGTTTCTTTTTCGTGGTTGAGACTATGAAGAACTGACATTTTCTGATTCGTGCCCATTCCAAGTGCCTCTCATTGGTTCTTTATCTGGTCACAAGGTACAGGTGTTGAGGAAATGGGTAAATCTGCAATTGGCTTGGCTGTTTCCGAAACCTATTCATGCAATAATCCTCATTGTATCATTAAGATGGAAAAATATTCTCCAGCACAAGTATGATTCAAATAATATAGTAACATTTCAAATAGCAAGATTCTTAAAACAAATAAAACAAAATCACATTTTACCGATTCCAAGAGTTGATTAACACTTTTAACATCAGGATAATTACTAGAGACTGAAGTTTTACGATCTGAATGAATTTGAGTTGATTCAGGCCCAGTCTCTTCATCCGTCAAAGCAACTGGAGTCACAACCTGGAACCAATCATCAAACTTGTCAAACAAACTAGTTCTCAAGAACCACTTACTCCCTCCATTTAAAAATGTAAGGCATTTTTAATCAAATCTCACCCCCAACAAAGTAATTAATTGTCTTCAAATTAACACCATCTTTCTATATTTACTCTTATTTAATAAGGTGATTCACTTTAAAATAAATAGGGAAAATTAATCATTTGATCCCTTTAATTTTAACTTAGTTGTAATTCAATCCCTGAATTTTGATTTGTTGTAACTCAGTCTTTAAAGTTTTAACCAAATTGTCACTCAGTCCTTGAATTTTAACTTGATGTAACTCAATCTCTATAATTTTAACTATTTAAAATATTATCCTCTATATTTTAAAAAAATAAAATTAGAAAGATCAAATCTTTATAATCTTTATCAAATTAAAAGTTTTAGTAATTTAAAATTAAACCCTAAATGTCATCATAATTTTAACTTTTAGAGTTTTATTTCAAGATAAAAGGACCAATATTTTAAATGGTTAAAATTACAGGGACTAAGTTGCGGCGAGTCAAAGTTTAAGAATCGAGTTATAACTAAGTCAAAACTTTAAAAATTGAGTTGCAACGAATCGAAATTCAGGGATTGAGTTACGAATGAGTCAAAACTATAAGGACCAAATAATTAATTTTTCCAAATAAATATAAGGTGATTTATTTATTATGAGCATTTTTGAAAAAGCATATTAATTACACATTAAAATGCTAAAAATGTTGTATATTTTTTAACAGAGGTAATAACAAAGATGAAATTTTCAGGATATTACCACATTGAAATCTTGAAACTCAATCTCAGCAACAGGAAAGTATGGCCCTGGTGTCTCCATAAACAGAGGAGCTCCCACTGGCTATGCATCATCAGGTAAAAAACCCTCTTCTTTAAGCTAAATAACTCATCCTGCCAGCAACTTATATTCTCTTAAATGGTTTAAGATAGAATTTATAGAACAAATGTGCGCATGTACCACAGGAACTAATGTTAAAAAAAATCATGTGTCAGAAACTGGAAACAAAAACAAATATTTAACTGCTCAGATTCCATTGCTTAATATTTGATCAGACATTTGATTCATTGTTTCATAAACTTCTACACCTCTCAGGCTAAATCAAAAGTTTACTGGTGGAGCAAGTCAGCAAGTGTCAATTAACATGTTACTTTCGTCTATATAAACGAAGTAAACTAGATTATGATGGAACCCTCTACCCTAATAAACTTAGAACAAGCAAAAATACAGAGCAAATGGGACTAAACAGAATAATGGAGCTGTATTACAAGCCAAAAAAGAAACTGAAATTACAGAGTACATTAAACAACACAAAATACAATGAAAATACACCTAGTACAACACAAACCTAAGCTACACACGAACAAATGATGAAGCAAGATGAACTTCATCCACTCCAATCTAGCATTCAAGAGGCCAAAGCTCTCCTCACCACTCACAATTTTCAAAATACCCCACACCCTCCCTCTGCACAAAAGGAAAGATTTAAAGACCCAAAAAGTTCCAAAAGGTTGAACATAATCCTAGCTGCACCTAATCCCTATTCCTACGTCACTTTTTCCCCCTATGGCCGGCAACCTTTGGGTAATTCTGTTATCCACTGGGAGATAATTCTTTAGTTCCTACACCATATCCCTTCATAAAGTATGTTATAGGCCCTAGGAAATGATATATAAACCTGTTCTCATTCTTCAGCACTATCAGATTATCATTGGCCCCTTGTTTCAATCATACTACTTTTTCCCTCTGGATTATATTATTACCCTCCTACTTTTGCATGTAAAATCCTTCATACGCTCTTTATCATTTGAACTATCTCTTTATTTAACGGCTACAAAATATAGAATAAGAAAGCCACAGTTCTATAGGAATATATCTTAAACCTATTTAAGCAATTATTTAGGCTCAAATTATATTTATTTTTCGGTCAAAGCATATCAAACCATCAGAGTATCCTCTGATGACCCAAGTAAACAGTATGTGAAAGAGTTTCTCTTTGCCCTGGTGTACCTACTCCCCTGTTAAAAAACTGGTGGCTTATCTAAGCAGCTCTTTCTTTGATGAGACAGTTCCTCACACAGAAGTTAATCCTCAAACCAAAATAGCATAACATATCCACTTCTCAAAGAGGAAACTCAACAACTCAACCATTTTAAACTCAGTTGAATACTAAATTCCCCATTGGGCTGATTTCAATGAGATCATGACTGGTTCGCATGCTCAACCCCTATCCAATGAAAAGCCAAAACAACGTCTGCCTTATGGTATTCCCATCTGACACATGCAAGTCCCATTTGGGAAGCTAAGAAAAAATAGAGATTTTCATATCACCTCTGACAAATTAGCAAATTTAGTCATTAAGTTTGATGTCACAATGTCTTTCAACTTCTTGTCATCTAATTCTGCTGCAGAAAGTGATTCCGTAGCAGCAACTTGATCTTCCAGAGATCCATAAGCTATCTTCTCTGACTCTAAACAAACAGCCTGCAGCCAGATATCAACCGACTCAAGCAAGGGATCTTGCTATTGATTTAGGAGTTTAATAGATTGACAAGTTATAGCCCACCCCGCAAAATAATAATAATAATAATAATAATAATAATAACAGAAGAAAACAAAGATACAAGTTCAAAAGAAAGCTGAAGAGGTTAGGTGGGTGAAGAAACTAACAGTAGTCTCTGTCATAGATGCTTTAACCACTGGAACTAGATCAGGAAAATGGCCTGCCCTGGCAGAAATAATCAGCATGTTTGTTCCCAAGGTAAACAAAGACCCCATCTGAGATGGTTGTAAACTTCCTTAAACAAGCGTACAGACAAACACACCAGAAAAAATATTTCGATAATAAGCGTTGCTTGTACTAAAGCATCTAACTTTAAGCATAGACAGACAATGATAATGTATGATGAAGCATGGAATTATGTAAATCAAGTAGGAGAACTTGTACTTGATTGATTTAAACTACCATCAAAGTTTTACAAAAGGCTGCAAACCTAGAAAGGACTAGTAGAAAGGTATGACCCTTTGAATTGGAATCACTATAATTAATAGGATGAAATTCATATTTTAAATAATAAAATGTATCATAAAGGTTGTTCATATATATCTCCAACTTACCTTGATCCAAAGAGAAGCTTCTGATGGAAAACGCCAGTTGGAAATATCTTACTAAAGCCATATAATTGGATGTCTACAAGAAGCAACAGTAATAAAAAAAATCTTGGGAAAATGATTATTTCAGATTTTTTTGACTTTAGGAGCTGTTATGAAAAGTTGAAAGCTTCAGTAAAAGGTTGAAAATCAACATGCTTGCCTCTTAATGCGAGTGCCAATTGCAGACTAAATTGATAAACCAAAAGTAGCAGCTTATAGAAGCGTCAAACTATTTATATGCGAGGGAAACAATTTGGTAAAATTTTCCGTCCAATTCCAATAATAGGCAGACATTATCTTTTAGAAGTGGTCCCTCAAAAGGTACAAGAACGAGAGAGGACAGAAATTCTATACTGATCAAATGTATTTCTACCTAAAGCCACTTTTATAAGAATGAAGCGAGGTTGCTATGGGTATCCCTGCATATGTGAATTAGAAATAGTTATCAGATAGAAACCTCTGCTAATCCCTCTAAAGACTGTATAAGAGAACAAAGAAAATATTATGTGGTGATTAGGGAAATAAGAGTTTGTTAAGGGATTAGTTAGTTTGTAAGTATTCTACACACTCATACTAGTATAAATAGGCAAAGAAAGTCTGTTGGAATTGAATAAAATTCTTTCTACGTTTTACCATACCAATAGTATCAGAGCCAGTTTTTCAGCCACCTGGCACTGTCACTGAAAATAAGATCAAAAAAGCTGCAATGGAGATGGCAAGTTTGAAGTAGGAGACAATTGTTGAAGATTGGTGGAAGCATGAAGAACTTCAACCAGTAACGTGGTCGCCAGAATCCACAACAATAGTCATTTTCATAGGAGGACTATTCAATTCAAGCAAACTCTTGATGTTATGTTCCTTCCCAATCTTAAAGAATGATATGACCAGAAGCAAGGAAGAGAACATGAAGAGGGAAGAGGCATAAGAAACTACAGCAAAATCTTTGTGATTATCCTTTTAATGCCTTTATTTGTAAATAGTCATTTTTTTATTTGGAGCTGATTTGTGGGCATACAATAGGGGAGATTGGTACAATTGTTGATCTGTTTCTCTTGTAAATGGTCATTGTTTTACTCGTTTTTCTGTCTTTTCTGTGTGTAGATCTTCATTATTCCCGATCAACTAGCAGTCCACTTTCATCTCCCTTTTCTCTCTCACTTGTTTCCTCGTATGTTTTGGCTGAAATATTAGATTGCTAGAACAATCATATATATGATGCAACTCCAGCAATTTCCAAACCAGAAATTCAAAGTAAACTATCATAAATAGTTGAAGAAAATGAGCGAGTCATAATGCATTTCCAAAATTAATCATTGCATTTTGTATAAACCAATCTCACCTTAGAACAAGTAAACAATAGAGCAGTGCTATAAGTGTGGGCCATAGCCTCAAAGTTTGCAGAGCCATTTTCCATGGATATTGCTTGAATCCAGATTGAAGAAAGGAGGAGACTCACTCGGTGACTGCTCAACCGAATAGAACTGAGCTCCTGAAATTTTGGGTACAGAATTTTTTTTTTTTTTTAATCAGAACTATAATGAATTTCTAAGGACCCAGAAAAAAGAAACTACAAAACTAACTGAACCACATGTCTGACATAATTGAAATCAAATCATGAAAAACATAAATTTTAGCAGGACGAATACACCCAGCAGCCCAACATCCCCCCCTACCCCACAGAAAAAATCACTAAAAAAAAAAAAAAAATTAAATATGCTAGTTCAACTGATGATTAAAAAAAAACTTCTTACTTTTCCATCAGTGAGAGCAGAAGTAAAGCTGCGACCAGGATACAGATCCACTGCATGTTTCCTATTGTCCCCTTCCATTGCCTTTGTTTCAGGTTCTCCTCCAATGAGGCTTGCATCCTCAATGGAGAAGCTTTCGTACTTTACATTCTGCGGCATCATTCTTTTCTGGTTTAGTTGGGTAGAAAAGAGGGATAGCATAAGCACTACAGAGAAGATACCATGTGCCCCGACTCTTCTTTCATGGTCTGGATGGGTCATTGACTGGAGCAATTGATGAAATAAAGCATCAGGGAAAGCCTGGAAAAGTACAACAACAACAAACCTTATCCCACTATCAACAACAAGCCTGGAGAAGTACAATATCACCAAAAAGTTTAAACAGTTCTGCAAAAGATGAGAATGTAGAGAAGACCTTTTTGACTCTAAGGAACAGAACTGACCTTTTTGTGATACCGGATACGATAAATTAGGGATGGAACTTATCAACCTCGCTGTTTGATGAACAGCTGACATTGTTGTTTTTGCTATAATGGAACTAGTTGATATATTCTCTAGCACTACAGCAATCAAATCAAGAAGGGGTCCTTTATCACTTGTTATTCACAAAATGTTAGACAAAAGACAGTATGACAAGAATGACTCAACATTCTATAGCCAGAAACTTTGTTCCCATGAGAAGGAAGATTCAATGGTTTCCTTTTTTATAGTCAATAGTAAGGACAGGTTTCTGATTAGATGTGGATCCAATCAATGCATTATGAAAAGATTGATCTGTTGAAGTACAGGATAGTTCTCTTTAGTTCTGGCATTACTGGATCCATGAGCAAGTTTTTTTTTTTTTGGTTCACCTATCAAGTGAGGATATCTCATAATCCTCTCTTTTTTTTTTATGACACCTCTCTTCTTTCTAATAATTATTAACCAAAAAACACATAGTAACTGATAATTACCTTACTTGAGAGTTGTAATATGCACATTTGTAAGGCGTGCTGCAGATTAGCTTTCCGCTTACATGCATCATTTTCAGTGTTAGATGATTGAATTAAACTTTGCTGGCACTTCCTTAAATGTTTTACGGAGGTAAGATATTGTGCCGATAATTGCAATTGAAGCTGGCGGCTTCACATTTTGCGCAAGTTGTGTGGTGACATTAACTACATCAATCTGCAGAATAGGTTGCTTGGCAACATTCTTATGATCCAAGTGCTTGATCAAAGAGGAAAACAGAAGATGGGAATTATCTCCTGGAGTTTAAAAAGTGATAATTATTTGCAGAAGTGGGAATAAGTTAGAATTAAATTTGTTTAAGGAAAGTTAGGGCGCTGAATGCTCAAGGTTACCTGACTCTGCTAAAAGGGATTTTAAATGCAATAAAACATAAAAAGCAACTCCTTTTTCTGGAGACCAGTAATTTTCGGCATCAAAATTATAAAAAAGAGGTTCAAGAACATGCCACACTGTTGTAGCTTCCGTTGCCAATTTGGCCATGTTAAACAAGTAAACCTTTGACCAATAAGTAGGATCCTTAGCAGTATCCCTGTAAAAGTGACAGCATAAAGGCTGTTTGTTGGATGATGAATGATGACTTTTCAGAATAAGTGAAGGGAAGAAGTGTAAAAGTAGGCTTACAACATTGAATGATCCGTCCTACTGGTATGTGGTAAAGAAGGAAGACGGTCTTCGTTTTGATGTCCCAGAATCTGCTGGTCCAGAGACTGTGAATGCCACTTCTCTTCCTTGGCATGGTTGTGTTCAATTGGAAAATTCAAGACATTCTCAAAAGTCACGGAAATAATCTATTTCAGAGCACACCCAGCCAATCAACAGACAAAATAGACAATTAGAACGATGACAAAGGTCTTTGACAGTGGCTAAAAGTTCTAGCGAATCAGAAGACCCAAACTTCTGTGAGAAGATGCCAAATTCTGTGCATCGCTTTATGTCAACGTTTGTATAGATGGTCAACGGTTGAAAAGGTGAAAGTATGAAAACAATACTCATTTTGTCAAAATCCATTGAATGATGTGAGTGTTCACCCATGAATTGCACCTAGTCACAGGAAAAAAAGGGGAAAAGAACAAAAGACATCTGCAAGAGAAGGTACAAGTTGCCTTGTAAACCACAACCAAAAAAAGGATACCAGGAAAGTAAATGACAAAGTAAATAAATTCATCCATTCATTCAGCTTCTAAACTAGTGATGGAAGAAATACCATGCAGGACAGAGCTTGCAATGCAGCTGAGCGTAGGCAGATAGGTTGCTCATATTCTCCCACTTTTTGAGCCAGTTGACATAATTTAGGGATGAGACCCTCTAAGTTGAACATATATGTACTATCCATCTACTTTTAATTCAAAAGATCAGTACCAATTGATGGACAAAAAAATAGAACTCGTAAAAAATGCATACATGACCACAAAATGCAATATACAGAAAGCATCTAGGACTAGGATGCAGTTTAATGGAACAAATATGTTACAACCCCCACCCTGATTTACTGACTTTAAATTATCCACTTCAACCAACCTCAACAAATTCCTATTAGAGACCAAGAATTTGAATCAATAAACTTCTCGGAATGGGTGATCAAGCTTCATACAACATGCACAAGAGCTACCCCTAAAATGATGTTATCTATAAGGTTTATCAAATTGAATGGAGGAAGAGGTATTGCAACCTATGATTCTCATTCCATCTGTTCGAGTTTGTTCTAAGAGAGTCTGAATGATAACTAACAAATCATTGGCGAAAAGTGGCCTGCAAGATGAAGAAATATAATGTGTATGTCATCACATATTTGACGTGACAGTATGTAGCAATTGAAACATTGAAAGGAAATAAACAAAGACTTGAATATGATGCTTGAGTTGCAAGTGAAAAAATAGAGAAAAAAATTGCACTGTCCGATATTACTAATTAACAGAGTTGTATTAATTAGAATGAAATTTATTGTAAAGTAATCTACAAAATATTCCTTTTGTGCTCATCAATATGAATCTAACATAACTTTCAGGACGTTCAGCTCACTACACACATGATTATAGATAATGACAGGGGTTCCTAGAAAACATCACTTCGTATATTCAGCAATGTGATATAGATAGCGAAGTTTAAAGACCAAAAATGTTTCTCATTGGATTAACAATCAGGAGCATAGTGTTGAAGGAGTGGTTGCAAATGTTTGAGACATAACTTTATGTAAATTTTAAGTATTAGATAATTTTCTACTAGCAATTGCACTATTAGTTTTATACTACTCGTTGGAAACGAAAGTATAGATCAAACTCATGGACTTATATAAATTAACCATACCCCTAGATTTTACAATCACGTTTAGATATTTTAAAATCGGATCAACCATCAGCATGTCCAACCTCTCAGTCACTTTCCAGCAAGATGTCCATCGATTGGATTTTAAAACTTAATAAGATGCATCCAAGTCATATCTAGATAAATTGTAGGGAGAATGGCAATGAAGGCACACAAAGGAGGAAAAAAAAAGCAGTGAAGGCCCTGCACATTTGAAGGTTCATCTATGCACAATTGATGAACCTTTAGTTGTGCAAAGATTAACTTTCAAATGTATTGGGCCCTCACTGCTCTTTTTCTCTTCTAGGGACCCTCACTACCATCCTCCCTAAATTATATGTCATTTTAATCAGGTTGGTCAAAGATTGTTACAATCCGAGGAGTATAGAGTTAAGTAATGAGCCACCAAACTTACATGTGCCCTTACATGATGATAACATTTTCCTGTAGATGCACCAGACAACTTTGACTGAACCAAAGTTTTTATTTCGCAAATTCTTGTAACATCTTTGCTCCAGATTATCCAAAATCTGCAAAGATAAAGCAGAAGAAAAACTCCACAAAAATCAATTAAGATGTCTTCCAGAAGTATATAAAAAAACCAGTGTTTTATAATCAACAACGTTGGACGTGAAATAAGCTCTGTAATAGTTTAGAAGAATGGTTTAAGGAAATAAATATTACAGAATGGACAAGAAACAGAAGAACCCGTTTCATTCACCATTTTAGGATCTTAATCATTTGTTATAGTTGCTTAAGTATGATAATCTAAATCTTCTCCAACATCTGATGAGTCATCCTAGTTAGTAGGATCAAATAGATCAAAAAGGACAAAGAAAGCAACAAATTTAGCTTAAAAAATCCAATTATTAATCATAGAGGAAATTTAGATAACGAATAGATTGTTGCATTAATCAATTCATATCAATCATTGATTGACAACTGATGTGAAGATGCATCAACAGAGGTTTAACAGAAGCCACAAGAAAAAGCACTTATTCAGTTCTTAAGTTTTTGTCCTTGTTATCCATATGAACATGCAGAAAGTTAACCGTTAAATGCATGTAGCCAAACTAGATCAACACAAAGATTGCTTCTAAAAAATTGTAACCTTGGGGATTCTCAACAGGTTCTCGGCAGCATATTCACATAGCTTCCCAATTTTCCTATCATTAGGTTCAGCGTCCTGCCAAACACAGTAAAATATGGCAGATATAAGATCTTTTTTTTTTTTTTGAAGAGGCAAAGAACTGGAAGGTACTCCCAGCATTATAAGTCAACATTCTAACTATTTTACAACATAGGAGATCATATTATTCAAAAATAATGTTGCACTTGCCACTTACAACAGCAGTAGCAAACCTTAGCATGGGTTTACAAAGAAAGTCAGGCAAAAGAATAAAATATATGCAAATAGGGTGGTAAATTAAGTGCAAATTTCTAGAATTAAGTATCACACTGAACTTGACGATAGTAAGATTCTTAAGAAGCATTTTTTGTTAATAATTAAAATTGCTCTAGCCTCCCACAATTTCAAAAACCATCTCATGCATACATAGCTTCCACCTGAACAAACTAGTATATGATTGAAATGCATAAAAATGGATGCTACAATGAATTGAAATAACTTTTTTTGTATCAAATTTCTTGTTGTTGTTGTTGTTGTTAATGTTGTTGTTGTTGCTGTTGTTGTTGTTGCTGTTGTTGTTGTTGCCGTTGCTGTTGTTGCTGTTCTTGTTGTTGCCGTTGTTGCTGTTGTTGATGTTGTTGTTGCTGTTGTTGTTGCTGCTGTTGTTGTTGTTGCTGTTGTTGCTGTTGCATTTGCTAGTGTTGTTGTTGTTGCTGTTGTTGTTGTTGTTGTTGCTGTTGTTTTTGTTGCTGCTACTGCTGCTGTTGTTGTCGCTGGTGTTGTTGTTGTCGCTGGTGTTATTGTTGTTGCGCTGCTGTTGTTTGCTGTTGTTGTTGCTGTTGTTGCTGTTGCAGTTGTTGCTGTTGCTATTGTTGTTATTGCTGTTGCTGTTGTTATTGCTATTTTGTTGCCGTTGTTGTTGTTGCTGTTGCTGTTGTTGCTGTTTCTGCTGTTGTTGTTGTTGCTGTTGCTGTTGCTGTTGTTGTTGCTGGTGTTGTTGCTGTTGCTGCTGCTGCTGTTGTTGTTGCTGTTATTGCTGTTGCTGTTGTTGTTGCTGTTGCTGTTGTTGTTGTTGTTGCTGCTGCTGGTGTTGTTGCTGTTGTTGGTGTTGTTGCTGTTGCTGGTGTTGTTGCTGTTGCTGGTGTTGTTGTTGTTGTTGGTTTTGTTGTTGTTGTTGTTGGTGTTGTTGTTGCTGTTGTTGCTGTTGCCGTTGCTGTTGCTGTTGCTGGTGTTGCTGTTGTTGTTGCTGTTGCTGTTGTTGTTGCTGTTGTTGTTGTTAATGTTGTTGTTGCTGTTGTTGCTGTTGTTGTTATTGTTGCTGGTGTTGTTGTTGTTGCTGCTGCTGTTGCTGCTGTTGCTGCTGCTGTTATTTTTGTTGTTGTTGTTGTTTAACAATAACATGCACAGATTATGAAATTTCTTGTAATGTTTGATTGGTTGTCTTGATCTTGTCCGTAGAGAAGGACAACAGAAACAGAGGTTGCCATGGCCAGGCACAACTCGCCTCGACATGACCCCCCTTATCTACAAAATTACAAGAACTACCTGCAAATTCAATAAGAATTGGGTTAAGGACCTGCATGGGTAACTACCAAAAGCACATTCAAACTACATCTGCCAAATCCAATAAATAGTTGAATCCCCTAAATGTACTTTTGCCAAATGTAAACTGAAAACAAAACCCACACTAAAAAGCACCCCCACCCCCATAGTTTCCATTACTTTTATTGCAGTAATTTCAATCAAAATTGTCCTTTCAGAAATCATATTACTCGGAGCCATGGTATTGAAACCCGGACCGGATCGGTCGGGTCAACCCAAAAACCGGTGACTCGGTCCCTTGTTTGGTCTGGATTTACTCCTAAACCAGTGAAGAAATGAACCAGTGTAACTCGGTCAACCCAGGTTCAACCCAGTATAACCCGGTGGGTTGACTGGGTTAACCAAGTTATTACTTTTTCGGACAAAACCTCTAAAACGACGTCCTTTTGGAGATTTTTTTTCATTTTTAATTTTTCAAAGTGCTGAGTTCAGAAATAAGATAATAAAAAAAAAGTGAAACTAAAGTTAAAAAATGAAAAATTAGAGGTAGAGCACACTAAGTCTAATCCAGATTATCAGACAGCATTTAGTTTGGCCTTTCATCTGTGTCTCTCCTCTCTTGCCCTAACATAATCAGCGTCTCTTCTCTAGCTCAGTCTCCGTCTTTTCTCCAGGCTCCAGCTCTATCTCCGTCTCTTCTCCGGCTCTATCTCTGTCTCTGCTATCTCCTTTTCTTCTCCAGCTTAGTCTCTAACTCTCCGTCTCTTTTTCAGCTCAATCTCCATCTCTTCTCCAGCTCTTTCTCCATCTCTTCTCTTGAATTTTGAAATTGAAGAGTTGTAATTGTAATGATAGATATTTAAAATGTTGTATTTTATTACTGCTAGACTTTTCAGTGGTTGGATTTGATTGAATGTTTTTATAATTAATGTCTTTTTATTTAAATTGTATTATTTTAATCATAACCTGTTTGCAACCGGTTCAACCCCCAGTTCAACCCTAATTGAACCACTAACCTGCAACCCAATGCCAGGACCGATTCAATAACCAGTCTGGTTTTACATACCTTGCTCGGAGCTGAATCCACCCCTAAGATATCTCTTCAATGTTATCATAAAGTGAGGGTTAAAGAATTCCAAGAAAAATGATTGGAGATTCAAGGTTCTAGAAACAAAAAAGAGATTAACATTATATTAAATTGCAACCACACAAAAACAAAACAAAAAAAATCCCAAGCAATAAGAGAACTTGCCCCTGTTTAAATAACAGAAATACTATTTCCTCGCAAAATTAAGCATCTCAAACATAGATCAGGACTAGAGAAAAAGCCACGATATCAAAAGAAAAAACTAGAAAAAAAATAACTAATAATCCAACAGAAATTCAGTCAATTACCAGTTGTATCAAAATTCCAAGAAATTAAACGTGGAAAAAATAGCAGCACTATCGGACAATGTAGACGGGGTTCGAACTTTAGGCTTCAGTAATGAATGGATCAATGTCTAACAACAGGATATGGATCAACCTTTTCCTTTTCGTATGAAAAGAAGAGTTTCCAATCACTTTCTCATTTGCTATGACAATTAATAAAAGTTAAGATTAATATTTGCATCATGTTGGAGTATATATTCTGAAGCCTGTTTTTACTCATAGACAATTATATGTTGCTCTATTTAGGGTAAGAAATATGGATGGTTTGAAGATGTTATTAGATGGCAAGGGAAATCATGCCTTAAAAACTACCAATGTTGTTTGTAGAGAAGTTTTTCACAATGTACATATAACAAGTGGTGATGACATTTCAATGTAATTTTATGCACCGTTGTCATGCATTCGTTGATTGTGGTAAGTTTATTTTATAAACTCGGTATTTTTGTAATAAATTATCTATAAGTAAGTTAACTTCTTTTATTGTTAGCCCTTTTAAATATATCATTGATTGCAATGCGTTGTTGTCATTTAGTCTGTAGCAATCATCATTATAGAATTTGATGCCTAACTCGTATCATTTTTTGATGTTATTTACTTTATTAATTACTTTTAATTGATTATATTTTAGCAAATGCTTCCCGTGTGTTACACAGGGGAAGTGGTGCTAGTTTGAACTAAAAAGAAAATGAAGGGAATAAAATACAATTTGTGCAATGGATCCAACATATGAAGAGTTTGATAGAATATTTGAGTACATGTAATGTCATTGAAGACATGCCCAATAATGAATCAAACGTATTAATAATGATACTGGATATGCAGTAAGTTTTCACCTTCTTCTACTAGTACCATCTTTTTTCTTTATAAAAAATTGTTATAATCTAATGTCTTGTTGTTTATTTTAGCCTGACATAATTGAGGAGTTATAATGGCTAACAATTAATTCTTATTCAAAATGCTCTCATTGCATTGATTAATGAGATAGGATTGCTAAAAACTAATGCAACATCTTACTTGCAATGAGAGAATAACAATTTAACAAGGACCTTCAGCCCGCTCTATCAAAAGTTGAGTTGTCTCATTTACAAATTCCTCTAGATAAACTAAGCAAGAGATGTGGTAGCTATTTGTCTACCCAAACACCAATTAAAAATAAAAATGTAGGAAAACAATAGCTTTAAAATTTTAATCAATCTCATTATATGATAGCCTATCTTTATCATCGTCTCCTTTCACTTTTCTCAATTCGAGCCTCATTACTTATCATCCTCATTATTCATTTTCAACTCACCCACTTTTATTCAATGGTATTAGTAGAAGAAAATGAAAAACTTACCGCATACTTAGTATTACCACTAATACATTGGACTTATTGTTAAGTACATCTTTAATATCATTGCATGTACTCAGATGTTTCATCAAATTCTTCAAGTACTGGAGGAGCATTAACGATAGTAAATAATTATCTATCTCATGCTTAAATGAATTGTGTGAAAAAAAACAACAAAGCAAGAAAGGAAAGTAAAAATTCTCACAATTAACAGTAAAAAAATATAATGTCAATAATAAAAATTGAAATTGTTCATTAGGTGAGTGATTTCACCTTTTATCGAATAAAAATTAATTTCTAACCACAAAATTATTTTTGACTTGAATGATCTTTTCATAACCATAAACTCATTTTCGGTCAGAATGATTTTCGGTATATTTGGATAAAAATTTGACACAGTGCAGCATTTTGATTTTTTATTTTTTTATTCTTTGCTGTATATTGGTAAAAAGGCCAATTTCTGATACATACATTTGGCCAACAAAAAAGCGTGTGTGTGCATGTGGGTGTGATTTCCAATTTTGTAGCTTGATCTCGAAGTGACAACTGTTGAGAGAATCTGACCGTGGCGGTTACTGCTCTAATCCTCAACTCGCCACCCAGCTGGTTCAGTTGGTAAATCACTTTTGTTTTTTTTTTTTTTTTTTACCAATTAACTCTATCATATTCTTCCAAATTTAAGCATATATTTGCACAAAAACTTTAATACACTTGTCACTATTTTATAATTAACAGCAATAATTATATGTTCAAAATTTAAAATATGCAAGACATGATGTTTTAGTTTAAATATCAAAAAAACATTAAAACAACATGAGTAAAATTTCCCACAAACAAAAAAAGTTTGGATTAGCCTTTAACTAAAGTGGAAGCCGATCTTCTCTGTGATGCTCCCCTGTGCGTCCCTCCGCAAACTTCTTCATCATCATCATCATCATCTTCTTCTTCTTCCTCATTCCATCTCCATCCTTAAATTCATAAAGAATATTCATATTAATTTAAATGTGAAACTGTTAAATAACAGTGTCACGGATATTTCAAGAATGCATTTACTATGTTTATTTAACATGACTATATATTTGGAAACCTGAACTCAAGATCACAGAATAAGTTTATTTCACTTCCTAAACTAGTTAAACCAAATAAATAATTTCAAATTGTTAAAACTTAACCTACACAATGCAAAACTCCAATAAAATAAATAAATAAATAATTTTAATTTATAGAAATTTTTAATTTAATAACAATATACAAAAATGTGCAGATCAAATTTTAACGGTTTAAATGTATTTATTTTCATATGATAATTATTTTATAAAAATTAAATTTGTTGGGAAAAATAAGTAAATCTGAAACATTCACTTTATAATTTAATGGTGGAGATGAGACAAAGAGAAGAAAGGGAGAACGAAGATTAGGAGAGGACTCGGACCCAACTTAAGTTGGAGTAAAAAGAAAAAGAACATGGTGGCTTATTGCATGGCCAAGTATAGTTTTGATTTGGATTTTGTGGGGGCGTTGATGAAACCACCTTTAAGGGTCTCAGATTGCTTGTATAATTATAAGAGAAAATAATATTCAATGACCTCTGTGTGAAATTTATATTACACAAGGATTAAATGATTTGGATTTTTTTTTGTAGTCTTGTGATCTTTCTTTCATATTAATTTTATAAGCAAAATAACATAATTGTCTCTTGAGTTAAAAAACAAAGGAAAAATAAAAAGAAACCCCATTATTGCTAGCACCGACTGCCGGCAAGGTCATTGAAACTCCTGCTGCAGGTGGGGTCATTGACGGTCAATCACCAGAGCTTCGATGCCAGCAACATATTTATTTAAGAAATAATTGTTTAGGTGGCTAAGGGAAAGTTTGATCCCATGACCCTTAGCCACCTAAAAAGCTTAATACCTACGAGGCCACCAAGCCCTTTAATTATTTGTAGTAAAAAAAAAAGCAGTAAATCAAGTTTCAAACCACTTCCATATCATAATATAAAAGTGTGTTGTTGATTTTTAAACTAAACTTATTATTTTACATATGTTATTTGTTAATCTGATATGAACGATTATAAATTGGGAGTTTTAAAATTTCACGCATTTTACTTGTTAAAAGACCGAATGTATTGTTGTTACTTATGAATAGGTTGTTACTAAAACTTGAATAGATATCTGTTAATAAATGACTAACACTTACAATTAAACCCTTCCCATCAATTTTTCTAACTTGTTAAAACCAAAATAAATTATTATTAATTTCTAATGAATTGTTGTAAAAGTCTAATTGTACACTTATTGATGAGAGACTGATACATATAATTAAGCCTATCTTACCCATTTTTTAGCTTATTAAAGCTCAAATAGACTGTTATTAATTTCAAATGAAGTGTTGTTAAAACCCAAATCAATATTTGTAGTTGATGATTAAAAGCATGGGTCTAATGTACTATTGCTTTTCTAACTTGTTAAATCCTAATTGAATTGTTGTTAATTTAAAATTAGTTATTATTAAAATCTGAATGAATTTTTGTTAATGAAAGACTAACATGTATAATTATGCTCATCTTATATGCTTTTTTAGCTAATTAAATCCCAAATGGACTATTGTTAATTTAGAATGAGTTGTTGTCAAAACATAAATAGATATTTGTTAATGAAAGACTAACCCATATAATTATGTCAATCCTATATGTTTTTTTAACTTGTTAAAACCTAAATGAACTGTTGTTAATTTAAAATAAATTGTTGTCAAAACTTAAATGGATACTTGATGTTAATGATTAAAAGCATAGGTCTAATGGAACAAATATATAAAAAATAAACCATGATAAATTAACAACAATCTATTCTGACTTTAACAAGTTTGAAAAGCATATAGGATAAACATAATTGTACATGTTAGTTTTTTATCAACAAGTATCTATTTATATTTTGACAACAACTCATTTTAAATTAGCAACAGTTTATTTGGGCTTTAACAAGATAGAAAAGCATATAGGATTAGCATAACTATATGTATTGGTCTTTCATCAACAAGTATTTATTCAGGTTTTGATAACACTAAATTAATAATAGTCCATCCAAGATTTAATAAGCTAGAAAAACAACAATTCATTATACCTATGCTTTTAATCATCAACTAGAGGTATCGATTTGGATTTTGACAACAATTCATTTTAAATTAACAATAGTGCATTCAAGCTTGTATATGTTTGTCCTTCATCAACAAATCTATATTTAGATTTTCACAATAATTCATTCAAAATTAGCAACAATCTATTCTAATTTTAATAACTTAAAAAACTTTATAGGAAGGACTTAGATATATGTGTTAGTCATTCATTAACAATTATCCATTCGGGTTTTGACAATAACCTATTCGTAAGTAACAATAATACATTCAAACTTTTAACAAGTAAAATGCATGAAGTTTTAAAACTTTCAATTTGTAATTGTTCATGTCAAATTAATACAAAACATACATAAAATAACAAGTTTTGTTTAAAAATTAACAACATACTATTATATTATGACATGAAAGTGATTAGAAACTTATTTTATCACTTATATTTTTTACTATATATAATTAAAAGGCTTGGTGGCTAAGCTTTTTAGGCGGCTAAAGATCACAGAGTCAAACCCTCCCTTGGCTACATAAACAATTATTTCTTGCATAAATATGTCGCCAATGTTAGAGCTTCAGTGATTGGCCACCAGTGAGCCTGCCAACAATAGAGGCTCCAACAATCTCGTTGCCTATTATGGTTCCACGGTCGGTGCCAGTAATGATAGGGGTTTTCTTTGTTGTTTTTTTAACTAAAAGGGTAGTTTAAAATTTTGACTTTAAAAATTAATATCAATCAAAAAGACCAAGGGACTGCAATATAATTTTAAAGTTAATTGATCCTTAACTGATATTAATTTTCCTCAACAGTCGTTGAATGCTATTTTCCCTAATTATAATGATGTAGCGGTGGGTCTTAAAAAACATCATGACGTTGATGATGTAGTGGGGGTGAGGCGTTCTACCTCAGAATCGGTTTTGGTGCTCGGCACCAAAACACTGTCGTTTGGCAGTGTTTTTTTTTTGCTTTTTTAAACCACAATTTTATTATAATAATAATAATAATAAATAAATAAATATTATAAAATTATTATTTTAATATTTAACAAAATAAATATTAAGATGTTAAAATTAAATATGAATAGAAATTTTGGTTTGCATAGTTCAGAACTGTATTGAAAAAATTAAAATTGTAAATAAAAATATTTTTTTATTTTATTAATTTTGCACAATTGTTTATCTATGAGAGATAATATCATTCAAGGCATAGTCAAGTATTAAATACAGGTACTTCTCTTAATAGAAATTCAAACATTGATTTATTACAGTGTAAGAAACTTGCTCATTTTGCCAGACTCAACTCCTATTTTAAATTATTCAGATCATTTTATATTTTTTTAAATGTAATTCTCAATGTTCAAACTAAAATTTTTATTTAAACTATTCAAGTCTAATTTTAACATCTTAATATTTATTAGTTTATTAAATATTAAAATAATAATTTTATAATAATTATTTATTATTATAGTAAATTTGTGATTTAAAAAAAGCCAAAAAAAAGAATTTTGTTGATGAGCACGAAACCGAGTCCTTCTACCTCACGATCAATTTTGATTTAATGAAGTGATAGGATGTTTTGCCCCGTATGTTACCAATGTTTTGAAACCTGGACCGGACATCAAACCAGAAAGAGCAGCAGGTCATGGTTCTCACGGTTCAACCGGTTAAACCGGCGGTCAAACCAGTGATATAAAATTTAAATAAAAAATAATATTTATATGCATATATATATATATTATAAACAAGACATTAATTTAACCTAAAAAGACAATAATATATCAAGCAACACCACAAATCCACATTGCATAACATATTCTAATTGCTCAAAATCTCAAACAATGACATCATAAATCCAAAATATATGTGTCAAACATGTTCTAATTGATCAAAGTTTCAAACAAAGATACCACAAATTCAAAATATGTCTCAAACATATCATTATAAAGTTCACAACATCATAAGTTTAAATTTTCATGGCTTATCAAATATTGAGGGATCTTGGTTAATCTAAGCATGGGCAGGCTCAAAAGCATCAACATCTTCACTAAAGCTATCAACATCCTCGTGAGAAAATAATTGTAAATCAAGTCCACTAATGGCTTCACCATCTGCCATGTTGCCTCTTCGCTGATTATCTTCACAAACAAACATTTAATGGATATAATCAAATTAATGAGAATCACATGATAAGTGATAAAAAAAGTGAAAACATTGAGTAAAGAATACCAAACCTTCCTCATCCTCTTGATGAATGATAGCTTTTGGTAGCACTGTGTCATCATAAATGAGATCTCATTCTATCTCATCAATATTAAGTAAAAAACAATCATCTTCTTCTATTACCCAATACTCAATCTTATCAATACTTTCATAATCAACAGGGTCCAAAGCTTTCTTCTTGTTAGCAACTCTAATAAAAACACATGATAGTAACAAAGTATAAGGATTCATGTAACTTATTTTTTATAGCTAGAAATGAAAGCAAAATTTTAACTAATTTACCTATTCCTTAATCAAAAATTGTAATGAATATAGACAAGATCATTCAATCTTTCATGCTCCAACTTATTCCTTTTCTTGGAGTGTATTCTTTCAAAGACATTCCAATTTCTTTCACAGCCCGAGGAAGATGTAGTTTGGCCTAATATCTTAATAACCAAGTCTTTAACATTTAGACAGCTGCTCCCAAAATATTTCCACCATTCATCTATCATGAGAAAAAGTAAGTTATTAGAATATATTTTAAAGATAAAAACAATAACAATCAAAGATAAAAGTATAAAGTTTACCAGGTCACATGGTTTTTGCAGATTCTAAAGCCAATGGATAACTAAAGCTCCCACACCTTTCTTGGTATTGTGTGCCCTCTAATAAAAAATTGGTCTTATTAGAAGAAATTTTTCTATCTATCACATTAAGATATCCTTGCATAACCTCTGGCTTTTTAGAAAAATTTTCCTTATCATAAAGGAAAGCAGGATTGAAGAGATATTCTGCTGCATGAAGATTTTTTCAAAGTTGAGAATCCCACCTTCTCTTAATAATACTTATATAAGGCTTGTACAGAGATTTTTTGTGCCTGAAAGTATTCTTTATAGCTCTTTTTGCTCTGTACATGCCATCATACACATAGCCAAGTGAAGGCTAGTCATTAGAATCAACAATTCTTAACAATTTCACAAGTGGTTTTACAATTTCAACAACAATTTTACAATTATTCCAGAATTGATTGTCCAATACAATCATTATCACATCCTTTGCCTTTGAATCCTTATAGTATCTAGATTCTACAAATGTCTTGCTTGTTATCAAAGCTTGAATATCATGCTTGTGCTCATAGATAATTTTCAAAGCAATAAAAGTAGTGGTAAATCGTGTTGCTCCAGGGCGGATGATTTATGTCCAACCTTCTCTTTTCCTTAACCAAGCTAGCAAAAAGACATGATTGTAAATGAATTTTGAAACCATAGATGCACGTGTTGCTAAGCTATTAACAATCTCCATTTTGCCAATATCTGATAAAATAAAATTTAAGCAATAGGCAGCACAAGGAGACCAAAAAATAGAAGGAAACTTATCATTTAACAACCTTCCAGCAGCTTTATAATTAGCTGCATTATCAATTATCAAGTGGACAACATTATCTGCACCAGCAAAAGCAACAATATCCATAAATAAGTTGCAAAGATTTTGAGCATTCTTAACAATATCCGATGCATCAACAGATCTAATGAAGACCATTCCTCTAGGGTAGTAAACAAGAAAATTAATCAATTGTCCATTTCTTTGATTCTGCCAACCATCAGCCATTATTGTACATCCAGTCTCAGCCCAAAAGTTTCTACATTCATCAACCAATAATTGCACCTCCTTTTTCATGTCTTGCAATAATTTAGTTCTCACGGCATGGTAAGTTGGTCCTTTATAACCAGGGCCAATAGCTAAAATAGCATCTATCATAGGCTGATAGTAAACAGAATTTACAACATTCATAGGAATGCAACAATCATACAACCACCTAACCACAGCTAAATCCGCTCTATGCCAAACTTCTTTACTTGCAAATGCACTTCAAATTCCTGGCTATGCTCCTGAGGTTGTCCTTGGGGCAAATAATTTGTCTCCAGCTGTAGATGCCTTTTTTTTGACTAATTGAGATGAACTTGGAGGAATTATTTCTTGCACAATTCCATCATCTGCTTCCAATGGATTATCCTCTTCTTATATTCTCAATTTCTTAGTTGGTCTCTTTTGATCAATTTCTTTCAAGTTTTCCTCCAATTGATAGCGAACATCATGTAGCACACTTTTACAACTAATTGCATCTCCTTTTTTTCCAGCAAGGTGTTGTTTCAGTCTGTGTATTCCACCACCGCCAAATTCCTTTCCACAGTATAGGCATCTTAAGCGAGGTTTGCCACCCTTTTTATTTGGATTTCAATACAATGCTCCCATGTAGGATCTGACTTAGCTCTAACAGATTGTGTAGATACAGCACTAGATATTTGTTTGGATGATATTTTCTAACTTTAAATTGAAATCACAGATAAAACATGAAAAGGAGAGCAGAGCCAGGAATTAGATCATACTCAGAATAATTAGATCATATCCAGAATTCCAGATCAATAAATAACAGAGCAACAAAAAATAAAGCAAACAAGCATACACAGATAAATGGTTAGACGAATCGTGTAAACAATATACATATTGCTCATTATACAAACTCAAATACATAGATAGAACATAGAAGCTAAAAATCGAACCTGAAAACAGAGCAGAGCACATTAAGAATCAAACAAGCTGGAGTAAAATGAGAATCACGCAGAGGCAGAGGCACGAGCTGGAGCTGGGACCTGGGAGGAGCTGGAGGCAATTTAGGTCTGGGCTGAGAATGGCAAGCGAGATGTGAGAGGAGGACGAATGAAAAATAGAGTACAATATGAGATTTGAGTGAGATTTCGAATTTGAAGGCTTGATGCCTTGATTAGTTGACTGGAGAATGGAGATGAGAAACAAAGAAAGGCGAGAGTGAGACCAAAGGTGCGACTGTGCAAGACGGCGAGACTTGAGAGACGAGTCTGAGCTCTAAGGGTATGACCGTGTGAGATTGAGACTGTGAGTGTGAGACAGATCAAGCGAGAGCAAGACGTTGAGACCAGAGGCTAGAGAGACGGTGAGGTTTTGAGAGACGAGTTTGAGGCTCTGAGCTCTAATCTAAGGGTGTGAGAGTGAGATTGTGACTGTGATTGTGAGAGGTCAAGACTCAGGCGAGTAATGATCGCGAGACGGTGAGAGTGAGGTCTCAATCTCAGCTCAGGTCGTCTGTGACTCTATCTACTACAATGAACTCGGTTGGAAGAGAGAAAGAGAGACGAGGAAGGCGAGACTTGGAGAAGAGAGATAGAGAGTGCTCAAGATCACTCCGTGCTCAGTTACGGCGCCTGGCAGTATGGGTCTCTGTGGTGTGGTGTGGCCGTGTGGGTGGCTCTGGTCTGGAGGTTGTGCGAGTGCGAAACTAGGAATGCTTTCTTCATCTTTTAATTTTTTTTTCTTGAGTGCTGAGCCTTGGATTGGACCAACAGGTGAAGGTGACAACACGTGAGGAGTCTGAGCTGAGGACGTGACTGAGCCGTGAGGTGTGAGTGTGAGTCTGTCTGTGACACTAAGAGCCTGACTGCCTGAGATGTCGTGTACAAGTAAATTTTTTTTTATTTTTTAACTGACCCGGATTGACCCATGTTGAATTATCTTCGGGTTCCGAGTCAACTCCAGTTCAATGAAAACCAAACGGTTCTGTCCAGTTCAATCCAATCCAACAACTAAAACGGTTCAATTGGTTGAACTAGACTGCTTTACCCAGTGAGTGATGGTCGAACTGATCAGACCGTCCGGTCCAATCCGATTTTCACAACATTGTATCTTACAAAGAAAAAAAAACAAAGAGAACAGAACAGAAACATGAACCCATTTTATAGCTGAAAAGTTTTTGATCGAACCTGTTTTGATTAGCGTTTTTCTTTTAGGACCATTCCTTTTTCATAGACAATGCTGTGACCCGTGAGGTTGCTCATTCATCTCATCATCTGTTCGGGTTAAGGTCATCAGGTTGGACGGTCTTTATGAACAATTATTATCGTGTTCACTTTTTTTCTTTTTTCTTTTACCTTGATTGTTGTGTCAAGTTTAAAGTTTGCAAAAGTATGTCAGAACAAACTCAAGTTAAGACTTATCCGGCATTGTTGTCCAAACACCAGGAAATTCATGTCCTTACGACTCTCACCAACGCAATGTGTAACGATCTTTCTCATCAATGTTTGAGGAAATACCAGAAGCATGATTATCATCAGCCAAAATTTTCGTTAATGATGAAAAAACACTGGAAATAACAGTAGATAGGAATCGGATCTTTGAAGAACTTCTCCAAGCTCGTTTGTCGTTTCCACGTATACATTATTTCAGTGCTTACATTGGTATCGTCCTTTGTCATGAGGCCCATGGGTTGGCAGAACCGATAAACAAAATGACATCTGTCGAGCTTAATTTAGGATAACTAAAAATTGTCCCGGTAACAAACCCTTGAAATAAGAAATCTCATTTGTCGGATTATAATCCCCTCCCTTGTCACTCATTTATCGAGAACAAGTCTGACGCTTCAAACATAGAACCGTATCGTATCAAACGATTGTTTCCAACTTTTCAAATTAATTTTAATAGTTACTTTCAACTTTCGAAACCTTAATTTTAAAATTTCAAAACGAAAAATAATCTCACCCCTTCTAGTTTACAGCCCATGGGGAAAAAAAAAAGCAACGCCTCAAATTTACCAAAAATTGAAACTTACTCATGGATGTAAGCCACCCGACAATTTCTCGACTCCGGAAACCTCCACGCCGACGCGTTTGACGGAGTCAAAAAGCGGTAAGACCATCATTCGATGGTGAACCGGCCTAGATTTTTCTTCAAGAACGTCGATTTCAACTGCGTTGACCCCAATTTCTCTGAGGCGGAAACCTAGCTTCTCGCCGACGCGAGAGGCGACCTTTGCGTCCCAAAAGTGATGGGATCTGGGAAATCGATTGAGCTTGGCGCGGTAATGGGCAACGAATTCTTGCTCGGAAGATGAGGCCATGGCTATGATGGATGATGTGGAAGTACTAGTGACCTGGGCTGTGATTTTCCGGCACGATAAAACTAGCCGCAGAAGGTGGCTGGGGCAATAGCAGGTGCCGGCCATCTTCGATGAGATTGTTACTGTGCCGGCATCCCCTCAATCCATCAAGCGCGTATTCGTGTTGTGGACTGGGTACGCTACATTCACCATACAAAATTGCCGAAACGCTGCACCATCGAAATATCGAAAATATCACATAATATATATATATATATATAAACTAAGTTTTAAGCCTTTAAGGTTATAAGAAATATATTATAATCTAATATTTTAAAATGTCTTTCGTGTAATTTTATGTTTTAATATTACATTTGAAATTTGAAATTAGGTTTGAGATAGTTTATTATTTTTCAAAGTATATAAGATATGTTATTGAAATTTAGAGTTAGATACAAAATAAATTATTAATTTTAAAATGTCTATAAAAATTATTTTTTATCTTTTTAAAATTTAAATTTCATCTATTTTGATGATTTCAGAAAATTTTGGGTGATATTCTGAAAATTAATTCATACAATTGAGTGTGTGTGTGTGATTGGCAAAAAACAGAGAGAACATATTGATATATATATATATATATATATATGTATATATATGTATGTATATATATGTATATGTATTTATATTTGAATTCAAATTAATATTTGGAGCTTTTGCACAAATAGCTCATATTATAAAATCAAGTAAAAGAAATAGCATATTTTTCTTAAATTTCAAAAATAATCTTTTTAATATTTATATTATAATTAATTTATAAAAATATTCCTTTTAATATACGCTTTTTTCAAATATCAAGAGATTCAAAATGTAAGAAATCTCTAAAATGAGAGAGACAAATGTGAGAGAAAAGACCTCTTCAATGTCTAATGTCCTCTTTATAATATCTCAAAAAAATAGAAAGGGAGAGAGAGGAAAAACTTTATGATGAAGATAGTAATCTAGAAAAATTAAATCAAAAATTTTGATAAAACAAAGCACTATACAACAGATGAATATGATGATTCAAAAAAATTAGGTCAAAAAATTTGATGATAAAAATATTCAAAGATGATAAATCAGGGAGGGAACACGCACAATATGATTTTTTATCATAAAAATAAAAAATTTGGTCAGTTAAAAATTAATTAAATCAGATATATTCTATTTTAATAATAAATTTATTCTAAGGATAAAAAAACACAGTTAATTAATTTTATGAATAGGTCATATTTTAAAATATTCAAAAACCTTATTCATAATTTATGATAGTTGTATTTTTTCAGGCCGTTGAACTAATTTTCTGTTAATATTTATTTAGTCATTTTTAGACTTATATCAAAATTAATTTTTAACTATTTGGAACAAAAAATCTGATTCATCCTAATGATTTTCAAAAATCATTCAAGCTAAAAATTATATAAAGTTTATCTATTTGCTTAACACACATTATAGGTATTTTAAAAATGAAATTTAAATATAAAAAATTATAAATATATTCCATGCTTCAAAATTTGTTTCGAAGTAATTTATTATATATATATATATATATATAAATAATTCAGGTCTGGAGTCAGTTTCCAGATTATTTATCAATTTTTAATATATAAAATAAATTAAAGTTTGATTATTTTTAATAGGTGCGATTTAGAAAATAATATACACACACGCAATAAAGGAGCGGTTGCCCGTTATGTATGTATTTATGTATTTATTTAAAATTCAAATCAAATCATTTAAAAAGGAGTAATCTAAAAATAAATTATTTTATATTTTGTACAATAATGAAATTAAATATTGTTTATATTTTGATGTGTCTGATTTGAAAAATAAAATGAAAATATTTATAGATTTGTTTATTTGAAATTTGAATTATTATTTAATTATGGGACAATTTTATAATATCTCCCTTTATCAGATTTATGAAAAAAAAGGCTTTATATTTAAATTTTAAATTTTAAGTTAGATTAGTTTAAATTTCAATATCTGGTTATTAGATTGGATTTGCAATTTAAATTCAAATTTTCCTCTAACATAAATATTGTTTCAATTATAAATAAATGTGCTTGGCTATGATTTCATTTCATGTTTCTACTTTAATTGATTCCAATATCATCCATGAGTTTATTGTGCAAATAGCATATGAAAATTATCTTTCCATGGCCCCTCATATAATTTCATCACTAATGTTTGCATTGTCTTTCATTCATTGTATATGGGTTTTACATTAATCATGTCATCAACTTGTTGAATCAAAAGTGGCAAATTACAATTTGGGGTGATTCATCTCTAAAGAATGCTTGATCAAAACTTATTAAATAGATCAAATGATATTGAGTTAATATTTTAAAACGTTGAGTAATTAAGCTATTACATAAAGCAATGCTTGTTTCTTTTTCTGCTTTTTTTTTTTGCAATGCCAGATTTATTTATATATATGTATGTATGTATTATTTACTAATTTATGCTTATGCTCCCTTTTTATAAGGTAATTGAATTTTGATAGTTGTATGCAAGCATTTTATGAGATATTATGCTAATAAGTTGCAACATGTAAAGATATACAAGGTTTTTAAGTTTGATTTCAGAGGTGATAAATTTATTGCTCAACTTTTAATTTTTGTATGCAATAATATTAATTATTGTTATTACTCCAATTTTTAATTGGTCATTTTGTTTTTATTTTTATTTGAAATTTTTTTATTGATAGTTCAAATTCAAAATTTCCTCCAAGCATTGTGTGTGTAGGGTTAGCTTCAATGTGTTTCTTGCAATTCTATGCTTCAAAATGCCTTACTCATGATTATGTGTTATGGAGTCAGATTCGAATAGAGGTAGAAATAGGCTAAGCTCATATTAGTGATTTACTCCCTGGCCTATTTACTAAATAGGCTTAGACTCACCCTACCTTATTTATTAAATAGGCTCAGATCAAGTTTAGGCCTATAATTAGACCTATTTAGTTAAATAGATCAAGCCTAATTTTTCAAGGTCTAACCTATGACTTAACAAGCTGGCCTATTTACACACACACAGTAATATATCACACATACATTAGTTGTACCATTTGATTTTTAATCAATCTATTTTTTTTAATTTTACTTAGGTTTTCAATTAGATTGGACTTATACATTGATTTTAATGTTATTATGTTATTATTGTATTGTATTTTAATTATTATATATTATAATGATTAATTAAAATCTAAACATATTATATAACCCATTAATGTTTTTTTAATATTTTGAATTTTTTTTGCATAATTTGATTATGTGCTTTTACAACTAACAGCATATTTTATTAAAAAAATTATCAAAACAAAATTTAATTATTGTTTTGATAAACATTTTTATAAAATAATCTAATTGCATTGGATTGGATTGGTTTTTATGACAACTAATCATTTAATAATATAATTATTTTTTTATTCTAAAAAGCCATATGTTTTTAATTATCTTGAAAAAATTAATTGTATATTCGAATTATTATTCATATTGAATTTACTATTAGTAAATATTTAGATTTAAAATTGAAATATGTAACCCAGATAAATTAAAGATACAAAAAAATATTACAATAACGTATCTTTGATAGAATTAATGATTTTTTCAAATCAATCACATCTTCCAGAAGTATTTGAAATTTTGATAATATCGTAATTTGATTTGAATATGTTAATAATATCATTCAATATATTCAATAAGTTTGGATTGCCAATATAATATACTTGATAATAAAAAAGACTTTAGCTTTAAATTTTGAACTTTAAGCTAGACCCATTAAAAATTAATATATAGTAATTAGATTAAAAATGTTAATTTTAATTTGAATTTTTCTTCCACCTAGATTGTTAATTATAAGTAAGTGCTATTAGCTACTATTTTATTTCAATCAACATGGTGAGAATCACGATTTTTTTTTTTTTTGCCAATAGAATCACAAGAGAATAAAAATTTAATAGTGAACAAATAAAATTATTTATAAATATGTTGCCCTATGTTAAATAGTCAATAAACATACTAAAATAAAAAACATGATTATAAAATAAAATATTTAAAATTACATGTCCTTTTGGTATTAAATCCAATTCCATGCATTCCATTTTTAAAGTATGTTTAAAGGCAATATTTTTAAATCCACACTATTAAAACTAATTACATAAATGTATATAACAATTAAGAAGTTAAGTAGTTTTTAGAATTTTCTTGATCCTCCATAATCCAATTTCATTTGAATTGAATATTAAATCTAATTACTCAAAATTATTATGAGATTTAATTATTTTAAATCTTAAATTTTAATTCCATTCATATTTAAAATAAAATTCCTATAAAATAAATAAACTTTTTTCAACATGTTAGTGAATCATTATATCATTGTATAAAATTTAATTATTTGAAAATTAAATGAGTATAACATATATTATTTTCATATTAATTTAGCTTGAATATAATAAATATCTAAATATAGTTTTTGGCTGTATTTTAATCTCACTAATACATTTAAAATATATAATCCAAAAAAATGGCAAATTACACCATCATTGTATAATCAGATAATAAAAAATATACTTATTCAAGAAGTAAATTATTACAATATTTAATTATTTATTTGTATCTTCTATCAATTAACTCATATTGTTTTTCAAATGACCATCATTAGGTAAGGCCATGAGATTGATTTGCGCAACCTTTGATAATAGTGCTAAGGAAACGAGACAATTCATGGGTCATGTGTTTGAAAAGGCACGCTCTTTGGAGGTAAGCAAAATTAAATTAAATTTTGTTTATTTGATTCAGTCTATGCATTTTTTTTTTTAAATTTGGCTAATCAATTTGATTTGGTTTGGGAATTCTTAAACTAAATAAACTGAACTGATCGAATTATACATATTTTTCTTTTCATATTTTTTAAAATGTGAATAAATTCTCATCTAAGTGAGTAAGAAACATCTTTTTATCACTTGCAGTAGTAGTATTTTTTTTTTGTTTCATGTGATGTTCTAATTTTTTATTTCTATAATTTAATTTTTAATATAATAGTACTAAGTTTTATTAATTTTCTCATGAATTATAGTATGAGATTGTTATTTTTTGTTGAACAGAAGAATATATGAACAATTAGACTCCATAGACCCAAATCAAAGCTTGTAAACTGAATAAACCGATTGAATCATATCATTATAATTTAGTTTGATAA